GATTTCAATTTGTGCTTGTTGTTCGATTAATTCAATTTCCTGTTTGATTATAAAGTTAATTTATGCAATGGGATCATTTGTTTTCACAATAAAAAGATTTTAATTGCGCCCCCCAGGAGGGCGATACTCCCCAAGATTATTTTACGCTTTTAAATATTCCGTACAGAAGTCGTCTGTTCGATGGGGTTGGCATCTGAAAAATGTCCGACCCTGGGAAAACCTCATCCGAATAATCATTCCCCTCCTGGAGATGCCAACAAGTGTGGCACTTGATCTTTTTCTTGCCACTTGCCACCGCACTCAGATTGTGATTGAGTATGTGCAACCGAGCCAAGGGCCAGCAGCACATGCTGGCCAGCATCCTGGTCATCCCGGGTTGCTCTTTGTTTGGACATCGTTGGACGTTGGGGGGTGAGTGATGAAAATTTCGATGATGGCCATCCAACAATGCCAGTTTGCTCGAGAGGGCGAAAAGGAATTTAATTTTGTGCGAAGCTCGAACAGTCCGCACGGAAGGGGCGTACGTAGTTGTCATCATCATCATCACGGCTGCATCAGCTGTCCCTCAGCATCGACAGTGGTGTGGGTGTGGGTGATAGAACCCAATTTGTTGCAAATAAAATAAGAAACAAAGCAGGCGAGCAAATGGACACAAGAGCCATCGCCTTCCATCCAGCTAGCTGCAGGAGCAATTTCGCAAATTCGTTGCAAATTGCCACTCGACGAGAAAGAGGAATCAGCGTCTCTGGCATTGAGGATCGATGCCAAAATTAGAAAATGGAAAACGCATTCGGCATAATTTCAGTGCCTTCCGCCCCTTGCCGTATTTACAATTCGCTTATGCAAAGTCTGCCCCCAGACAATCAGCTTACCCACTCAAAGATAAATCTATATGTACGATATTTTCCATTTCAAACAGGTAATCGATTTTCATGCTTGTGGCGAAATGTACAAAAGAACCGAAACGACCCCGAAAGTAAACCAACTTTGTTGTCTGTTTCGTTTGTTTTCATTCTTATGTTTTTTCCCCCGACTGCTGGATTTGGGTTACCACAACCTCTGCCACCTTCTTCTTATTCCTTATGCCGTGTGCGTTTGTGGGGCAGTGGGGCACGGGGGCAGCGGGTATCGTGTGCGTATACTTGATATTTATGTTGAAAACTTAAAACAGTTAAGAGCTCGTCGTGCTTAAAATATTCCATCGGTGTCTGACAGCCAAGTTTATCCAACTTGTTGATTTACTTTTCCCTCACTTTTCGGAGCCAAAGTTAAGCCACATCAGAGTTTCCGCTGCGCTCCCCTGCTCTCCGCTCGGTATTGTGTTTCCCATTTAAAGTGAGACCTGCCCGGAATAATCTCATCTCGAGATCGTGTCTTGTTTTTGATCTTACCAGTGATTTGCATAAAGAAAAATCCACAAAAATGGGTCTTTATTGAACGCAGCCATCGCTGATAAAACTTGGATTCGCATAAAGAAATTCCTTTTGAATTCCTGGGACTTGAACAGGATATATTTATTGCTCCTGTTGGCTACGGATCTCCTCAATCCACTCTTAAGAAATTGAATTACGTTCTTCTTATGGATTTCTGCAAGTGCATCGGCCTCAATGCGAAACCCAAATCTCCGCAGAAATATTCAAAAGTGCAAAAGTACACATGTGCCCAGCTGGGATGACAACGGCATGAAAGAATCCAATTACGCCGGCTACTGGAATATTTTTGACAAGTATTCAATGAATTTCATTTGAGATTTGTAACCCTAAGCCCTGCCAGCCAGCCAGCCAGCCAGCCAGGCAGACTTTTTCCAGGAAACGAATTAGAAATGTGTAAAACAGAAGTTGCTCCGCAGCCGCAGTCGGTCTGGAGTGGAGCAGCAGCAAGTGAGACGTGAAAAATATTCCCTCTTCCTGCGGCGTCATCGGGTACTGAGACCTCCACCGGACCGGAAGAGGAAAAATGATTTCCGGCCGGGTCCGGGCGGGGTGATAATTCTGCGGGATCCGAGAACTTTGCGAGCAATCATCAGGCGGCTTGTCAGCTTCCCCGGTGGTACTTTGCAGCAGCTGGCACTGCGACTGCAACCAATTCATTTCATCGAATTATGGACCCATTGCCGACTCTCCCACCCATTGCATCTGCATAATTTTAGACATTATTCTCCTTGCCGCCGCCGAAAAAGTTTCAGCTAAAAATGTCGAGAAAAAAATAACTTTGTCAAAATGTTTGCCCAAACTTCTGGCCAGCAGGAAAAGTGTCTGGAGACGAGCCGAGAAGTGCAAAAAATTATCACTATTGTTGCAGATTTGTTAGGTGGCGGTGGAATTTGTTTTCGTCGTTGTTGCGGCTCTTGTTTTTGATGGAGGTGCGGCGGCTTTGATAACAAGTTCCATTTCGGGTTTTTCATCCAGGTGGGGTTGTCTGTGTCTGGTCGTGCGCGTGAAATGGAAAATGGGTAATTTAAATATATTATTTTTGGGGAGACATTAAATAACACAAACAAGGAGAGCTGATATATGTTTAAATATTATTATAGAAAATTATTAAAAATTATAAAAGCGAATTATTTTTATTAGCATCAATAACATAATACGCATTAAAATAATAATAATAATATAACACTGAACGTTGAAAAAGAAAACACAATTTCATGAGTTTTCTTGTAATTTACATATTTAAAAGCAAACGATTTTTCAATCACTTGAGCCTGCTTTCTGAGCCTTTGTTTTGGGTTCTTTGAAAGATTACCCAACTGATTTCGTAAATTTCTTTCAACTGCAGCAAACCCTTGGATGTGGTGCTGGCCCCGAGGAGCTTCATCCTCGATTAACTGACTCGTGGCAAACTTTTGGCTGACAAATGATATTTAAATGAGCTGCATTTGAAAAGTTAACGGTGAACGGTGCCCAGAGCAAATGTCACAAAATTGACAGGATCCCCGAATGGGAAGGAGAAGAAAAGAAAAACTGACACAAGTCGGCAAATTAAATATGCCAAGAGGCAAAGTCGAAATCCGAGCCGGCCAAAGGAACACCAAACTTTTGGCTTGCAAACATTCCTAAACTCTTCACTCCACTCTGCTCCGTCCGGCCTGCTCCTAAATCCGAATTCTGAAATGCCCCTCTGATCCCGACTAATGTCCAAAGATGGCAGGCCCGCTGCTTAAACGGCCGAGGAGCCGGGGGCCAAGTGCTTTGGCGGCAACTTTAAGTCGCATTTGGTTTCCTAATGCGGCTCAGACGGCTTCCCATGCTGCGCCGTGGCAGCGCGCCGGGCAAATTGAAATGAAATTGAATTTATCCCCGGCTCGTTGGCGAGGAGGGTCCTCGGGGGTGGGCCAGAAGTTGACGCGGGTGTGGCACTTTTATTTACAACTATTCCTCATGCGAGTGAGCTGGGAAAATGCAAAAGAGTTTAATTTGCAATTTGTCGCCCTCATTCAACGCTTAACTTTTCACTCGGGCGGTGTTTGCGGTTGCATATGCAAATGCCTGCCCCCATTCACCCCTCACCTAGCCGCCCACCAGTGCCCCACGGCAACAACACCCATGGAATGGCCCGCAGCCCTGCATATGCGATAAAATGTACAAAGTTTTGCGCTAAGGCCCCACTCGAGCTGGGCCCGGAGTTGTTGCTGGCTGCCCTCCACTGCCAGTTTGTTAAACGCCTTTCAACGGCGTGGTTAGCCAAGCGCAGACCTTGAAATGCCGCACACACTGCCAGTCCTGGCCAGAAGCTAAAGCTGCCAGCTAAAGCCGGTAGTTGGTAGCTGGCAGCTGGAGCTGGTAGCCGAAGCCACTCGAGCAGCTAACCAGCCAAAGCAAACTTTTCTGCGGCAAACGCTTTAAAAAACCATTCCGCAAAAGTCATTCCGTAAGTTGGTCCTGCATCCTGAGTACGCATCACACTTGGAAAATTAGTAAACGGAAATTATTTCAATTTTAAAATAAATATCTTAAAATAAATGTGCTTGAAAATCATAGAAATTAATTCGAAAACTACAAGTATTCTGTATTAAATATTTTGGTTTAACTTCAGCTAAGAACCAAACAAATTTTAAAATCAATTCAGCATTTGGGAACCATTTCAACAGTGTTCCTTTTTCCTGAGTGCACACACCCGCTTACATGTTGATTTAGCAAACAAAATGTTTTAATTGAATAACACTTTGGTGTTTCACTACAGCTTACTGGCAAGTTCAAGTGCGCCATTGTCCAACTATGCGTATACTTGACGTTCGGGCTCAACTGTGCGTATGCTTGACGAGCGTAATGGCTCCGTAAAATAAATTATTAATTACCCTGACTTCATCAATCAACTTAGCCAACCGCAGGCTGGAATTAAAAATAATTTGAAACAATTCCCATTTGCAAAACAGCGCTAAATATTTTCACACACTCTACATTCACACTCACTCGCTGGCGAACCTATCCATGCAAATTGAATAGCACAAAATTCAATTTAGCGTTGAACAAAAAGAAAATGGTCAGCGGCAAAACAAAAGCAAAAATGTGTAAAACATTTCGGTAATTTAGTTGAACGATTTGCATTTCCGCTGAGGAATAATTTTTGCACTTTTGTGCCCAGTGGCTGCCCAAATTGAATTGGCGGATAACAAAAAAGCTGGATGGATGGATATGAAATTTGAGCATTTATATGAATTTAATTAAATGGCATTCAGCACGCAAACATTTTGTTTAAATTGTCGCACGCGCAGCAGCCCGGCACAGAATTTGCATTGATTGATGCCGTATTGGGTGATTTATTGAACCTGAGGTTTGTCAGCCAAACAGCACCACTCTCCGACTCCCTCTTCAATTATTGCGATTGTCAGTTGGTAATGGCGGGACATGTTCAGCACAATGCACACATATTTAGCCGACTTTCGTTTTGTATTTCTTCGAACCGCAGTGATTGATGTGGCCATGTTATCACCGAATACAAATAACTCAGCTGCATTCACCCCCGACATCTGTACTTGCTCGGTCAAAACTCAATTTAAATTGCATTTGCGTTGCGCCCGTCACTGCGGCATGTGTCGCCTGTCAACGGGTCCCTTTATTCATACTATTAGATTTATTCGTTTATTTGAAAGAATCGATGAATGAATAAGAGAATTACTATTATTCCCTAGATTTCTGTAGAGTTGCCGACGGTTTCGCTGGAGTCGTCCTCGTCGTCCGAGTCCGAGTCAAAGGTGTTCTCCGGTATGTCGTACAGACGGACCATTGGCTTGTTGGGATCCTTCACGATGAGATACTTGCCGTCCGGCTGCTTCATCACCAGGTCGACCAGGCAGCGAAGGATGCCCCAGGCATTGTCCATGTTGAGGTTAATCTGCGTGGCAAACTCCTGCGGCTTGAACTGCTGCGTGCCCAGTATCACGTGCCGGAGGTGGTCCCGCGGGCTCACCCTTGACACGTAGCCCAGCTTAAGCTGGTCGGACCCGGCCAGCACCGCCTCGACGGTCCAGCGGGCTAGCTTGCAGGCGTTGTTCCGCAGTTCGGAGGCCAGAACGGCGCCGCGTTGCGTGTCTAGCTTCTGGCGCCACTCCACGCTGTTGGCCGCCTTCGAATCCCACTCGTTGAGGGCCTTAATCGAGAGGAACTGCATCTCGCCGCTGGGCCCCTGGATCACCCCATTGTGCTTGCAGCGGGCGACCAATACAATCCCGTTGCCCAGATCCCACTGGCGGTAGCGGTAGCCCAGAGGGGCCAGCTGAACGCCTGGCTCCTGGAACGGATTCGGCTCGTCAAATTTAAAGCGCGGTTCCTGATCGCCGCTGCGCAGAACCTTTAATTTGCAGGCAGAATAATAAATATTGTATTTAAAAGCTTACTTAAGTAATTGTAAACATACCTGCTGCCCGAAATTATGGTTGATGAGCGTAGCCTCTGTGGCCAGGCTGTGTGCCGAGTTAATGGAGCCTTCCTCGTCCATCGGCGGATCCATTGAGGTCTCGTTCACCGTCAGCAAGTCGAAGCGTGCGTTGTCCCGTTTGTCGAGGAAAACCTTTGTGCCCAGCTTCTCAATGACCACGTCCCAGGAGTAAATCGAGCGAGTGCAGCACATGATGGTGGCCAGAATCTCGTCGGTGGCGAAGACGTTGCCCATGGTCCTCGAGAGGCGACGTATCACCGGATCATCGGTGGTGGACACCGTGTGGACAATGCAGTCCATCTTCAGCAGAGCCCGCTCATTGCGCAGGTTGATCCGATCGTAGACCTTGTCATAGTATTCCAGAGAGCCGCAGGTCACGATGTCCAGGCCCTCCTTGACATTTGGCAACGACAGCTTGAGGAGGCGTGAAAAGTCGAGCTCCTCGACAGATACCCATTCGGAGCGCACAACGACTGAGCTCTCTCGAAGTCTGGAGGGGGCATTCCGGCCGAAACGGCGGCCCTGGAAGCGGCGCGTGTCCCGAGCCTTCCCGTATTTCGTACTATTCCCAGTGCCGCCACCTGCCGTCGGACCGCCGCCCATGCCCGCAGGACCGTTTCCACGTCCTGTGCGACCTCTGCCCCCGCGAGCATTGCTGCGCATGTTGGGGCGAAAGCGACCGCGCTGGTAGGGCTTCTGGGATCGGGAGCCAGTGGTGTCCACCAGGTGGAAGGTGGTATCGTCGTCCTCATGGAAGTACGCGTACTGACCGCTGTTGCCGAAGGAAGAGGCATACTTGTTGGCGAACTTCCTCTCCTGCGGCGGCACAGTCCAATCGCAAATCTTGCCCAGGCGGTCGCCCTTGCAGAACGGCTGGTAAGGCACATCCATTTCCGGCACCTCGCACGGACCCCAGCCGTGCTCGTTGTACTCCACTTGTGGCTTGATGAACGGAGCGTAGGTCGACATGGTCGTATCGACAAGCAGAATTGGAAAAACCAAACGAAAATTTAAGGAATTTTAAGATTTTCTGAGTGACAGATTAGTTGTCTCGCGCAGGAAAATCAGACTGAGAAAGTTTTCATATACGGAGGAGACAGAACTACTTGACATGACAAAAGTCGAATGACAACTCTTGACTAGGCTACTCTGTCATTACATTTTATTTTAAAAGAACTTAAGTGAATACCAGATTTAAAGAAAATGATAGTATTTTCTGAAGTAAATGTGATTCGAATAAAATTAAAAAAAAACACGTCGAATCTTTGTTAATTATAAAAGTCTCATTTATCTTTTGATTATAAATAAAAGTATTAGTTAATGTAAATATCGATATGAAGACTAGTCTTTCAAAGTATCGATATCGAACTGTCTGCAACTCTATGCTGCTAGTCCGTGTGTTGCGCTTTTTACTTATTTTTATAAAGCTAAAATATACTCTATAAAAATCAGTGAATACCTCAATATATTTAAGTAAGATCCGGAGATGGATTTAAAAGTTTATGACCCCAAAGTAACCATTGAAAGTAGGAATTTAGCTTTCAATTTCCTTGGGCCTAGGTGGTTTTTGATTTCCTGTCTGTATAGAATCTGTCTGGAAGAAAATACACCAGATGCTTGGTGGGGCAGCCGCAATAAAGCAATGACTTGTCTGTTTATCTTTCGGTTGGTCACCAACGCCGTGGTGATTAGCATAGCGGCGGTCTTGCTTGTCCTGCGCGTACTGACCTGATCGAGGACAACTTTCATCATCTTCCTTTTTTGTATCATTTGAAAAAAAATCCCTCACGAATTGCTCGAATAAATGTTTGCTGAGCTGTGGAAGTGGTGTAGAAAGCAAAGTAACTGTCTTAGGATTATCACTGGGCAACGCACCCAAACTCAACAGCACGCCATCATTCCCATTACTCTAACATTGGGCCATTGTTCGCAGCTAAGCAGCGGGAAGGCAAGGAAACAACGGCACAATGCAGTACAATGGCAACGAGGGTCCTGTATACAGGACCCGGTCAGAGCCCGCTTCAGCCGGGGCGGCGTGTCGGTTTCCTTATTCTCGGCTGGCTGGCTGGCAGCTCGAGCACCTTACAACAATCTCGTTAAGCGCAAAGGCCAAATTATAGTAAAACTAACAGAAGGCAAAAGGTAATCACATAAAAAGCTTGTTAGATAACAACGTGAGAAGCGGCGAAAAAGGAAGCGGACATCCTGCCTCCGGCTCATCCCCAAAAAGCAACATGTCGAGCGTGTGAATGTGTGCCTGGATGTGTGGAAGATGATATGGGGAGTAGATGTGGGTGTGGGTTTGTGGTAGTAACTCCATACAGTCGCCCAGATCCAGATCCCATTCCCCGGACTCTGAGCTAAGCTTTGTCAGGGCGACAGGGTGTCATGTTGATGTGTGTGTCACTGGCAGCTGCTGCTTACATGGCCCAGCTCCAGATTCCTTCGCACTTGCCAGTTGAGGCACAGAAAGAAAGGCCTAGTTCAACATTCGAATCTTCTCTATTCTCAGAACTTAATTTATAAACTTATGGATATGCACTTGCATTAGTTTGGACCAATTCAAAAGGAACTTTCTCTGGGATGGGAGCATTAAGCTTAACCTAATAAGTCGGAAATTTTCCCCAGTGCAGACTTAAGCCGAGCAGGAGTGTGCGTGATGCTCTGAGTGTGAGCTAGTGAGTGTGTGTGGATTATAATTGCCATGCGGCTGTCAGTGACTGCAGGCGGCACCTAACGGCACACAGCTGCAGATGTGCGGCTCGTGTTGCAATATCATTTTTAATGCAAACCGCATGCCACATTATGCAGCTGCATTGCCACGTCACCGCTGCGGTTTCCCCTCCGCTCTCCGCTTTCACCATTCAGCAGTCTCCCTCCTCCTCCGCCTCCGCCCCGCATCTTCATCTCATCCGCCATCGCTTCTGCCGTTGATGCTCCTCGCATCTGCTGGGAAAAAGCGGCAGCGGTTTAGCAAAGGAATATAGCCAAGAATAATGCCCTGGCACATAAGTAAGTACTTACCCGAGGAACAAAAACAGCAGGAACAACACAACTGCCACTACTACTACTGCCACTACATACAGCAGCGTACTGTGTGCCACCAACAAAAATAACAACAGCAGCAGCAAAGTGAAAAACCGCCTGCATACTTGGCGGGGCTCGCGAGCGATAAACGACAACGAGCCCCTCTCCGAAGGGTATGCCATGCCGCCGTACATAATCCCCCTGAAAGGGAAATTAAAAACACATTTTCACTACACAATTTATTTTGGAAATTACTCAGTGCTATCGCGCAGGATTGACGGCTTCTCGCCGCTTTCAAGGCCGCAAATATTGATACCAAATCGTAGCTTAATGCTTGGCCATTTGGGGGATGTAAGATGCGGGACAATAAGACCCAAATTGGGTGAAACTATAGAACCTATGAATACATAATAAAAACTGTAATTAAGATTCCCTAATGGGATTCAATAATAATCCGACTGGGCTTGTAAAAATTCTGAGTCTTGGAATGACTGCTACTTAACCCATATAGTAGTGATTATGTCTTCTACAATTTCCATCTATAAGACTTAATTTACTTAAAGCAGTGTATTGAAAACATTAAATAAATATATTCAGGGTCTATATATAGGGTCTTTTCCATTCGGTCCATATTTTTCGTCCTGAAATTTCGTGTGGCTTCAACGCGCGTGGAAAGCTCGGGCTGCTGCTGCTGCTGCTTTTGTGTTGCATAAAAATTAAAATTTATGCCAGGCAACTTGTGCAAAGCACTGCAAATGCCATTGTTTCCCAGTCCTGCCTCCTACTCTTTCCTATCCTCCTGCCGCTGATGGTGTTTTTTTGGCGGAGGAAGGACATTCACGTTCTGGGTGGCTGCACTCACCTACCCCTCGCCTCGGCTTGTCAAGCCCACTTACATTCAATTCATTCATCTCCGGCTGAAAAATGAAAATAAAAGCTCCGCACACCGCGCACCGTTCACAGTCCTCCTTCATAATTGCACAGCAATTATACATACTGCCGGCGACAAGATGGATACGTAATTAATAGCACATTAAATTGGGCCACAGCAATATTAATTGTCCTGATTGATTTATGCAGGTAATTATCGCTTTAAGCAACCGAGGGAAATAAATTTCGACTTCGCTCTGAGAGCTGAATGGGGAATTATGGCTTTTCTCCTCCACTCACATCTCTCGTTAAATCAGTCAAAATAAGTACAAAATTAGGCAGCATGAACACGAGCTAGACCCGGAAGCCAATCCTTAGGACCCAAGTCGCTGCAGGATCAGTTTAGGGAATGTTCTTTAGACTTTTAACCAACAGTCGATCCCATTGCTCCCGTCCCACCCAATCCCTCAGATATAAAAGCCACCTTGGGTCCCGAGCTGCTGACTGGCGTTTCTGCAACGATCGAGATGGACCTGCCCGAGGGAATCCTAATGGGCTTCGGCAATCCCCTTTTGGACATCACCTGCATCATCGAGGACAACACGATGCTTGAGAAATTCGGCCTGAGCCCCAACGCCGCCATCATCGCCGAGGAAAAGCACGACGCGCTCTTCGACGAGCTAATGAACATGGAGAATGTCATTTACTCGGCGGGTGGAGCATGCCAGAACACGATGCGGATCTTCCAGTGGATCGTGCAGACTCCCCGACGAGGAATCTTCACTGGAGCAGTGGGTAACGATAAGCTAGGCGACCGCATCGGCAAGAGGGCGAAGGCCGATGGCCTGTTGACTCTATACCAGGTGAAGGAAGAGTTGCCAACTGGTATGACCTCAACACCACTACTACATCGACTTTTTTGACTGAACAGCGCCTTCTTCCTCTGATTAGGTTCTTGCGCCGTGATTATCAACGGCTTGAACCGCTCAATGGTGGCCAACCTCGGTGCCGCCTCTCTATTTACCGATGAGTGGATGGATGACGAGGAGAACCTTTGCTATTTGGAGCGCTCACAGTTCTTCTACTTCACCGGCTTCTTCATGGCCGTTTGCCCGTCTGTCGTTGAGCGCGTTTCCAAAATGTGCGCCGAGTCCCACCGACTGATGATCCTCAATTTTAGCGCCGTTTTCGTGCTGCAGATGCAGCGCGCCGCTCTCATTCAGGTCATGCAGAACGTGGACGTCATTATCTGCAATAAGGAGGAGGCTATCGCCTTTGGCGATGCCAGCGGCTGGAAGACAAAGAACATCTTCGAGGTCGGCCACAAGCTGCAGTCAATGCCCAAGGCCAACATCCGTCCGCGCCTGGTGTTAATCTTGGACGCCACTTGTCCTGTGCTGTGCTTCCAGGAAAACGAGCGCATCCTGGAGTACCCCGTGCCAAAGGTAGACAAGAGCAAGATCATTGACACCAACGGCAGCAACGACGCATTTGTCGGTGGGTTCCTGGCCATGTTTGTCCAAAAATTGCCACTGGACTACTGCATCCGCACCGGCATATTCGCTTCCCATCAGACACAAAACGTGATAGGCGTTCAGATCGAAAAGCTGCCGAAATTTAATGAGATATGCATGTAAAATTTAATCAGGGATTTTGTTTAATTTCTGAAAGCTTAATCAAAATTTTATTACAACGTAAATCAATTTCAGTTGAATTATCTTGGGCGTATTGAAAGTTGATATTTAGGATAAGGTTTAAGTTCTCTAAAGTGGTAAATCCTCTTAATTAGTTTTATCACCCCTAGACACCAAACACTACGGTGCTAAGGCGAATAAATTCCTTACTTGATTATCAGCTTAACGAGCTCGCTCCATGGGCGATCAATATAATAATTAAAGCACCGGGGGCAGACACACCATCGAAGAGCCTGCCTCTGTCCGCCGGCAACATCCTTTGGCCCGCACCTTGACTGGCATATTCATGCCGGCAAGAGTCCTGTGGCTCTTGGCGCTGCCTTTGGCTCCGACAAAAATAAATACATTTAAATGTATAAAACGCCCTTTTCCCGGCTGACTGCTCCCCGCCGCCGAGCTGTGGCTCTGCGAGAAAGGCAAACAGAAGTGATGTAAAAATATGCGTTGCATACTTTGCAGCGCCAATGTAAATTTCCACCCCACACCGACGAGTCGGGTGGGTCCTTGTCTTTAGGGTCCTGGCGTCTCCTGCCGGCTGCCTGCTGCCTGCCGGCTGTTGACTTTGGTCTGACAAAATATTGCTACCATTTCGGAGCCGAAGACGGAGGAGAAGCGAAGCCGAGGCAGCTGGACATGAGCACGTGCCAGCGGACAGTGGTTTCGGACAGATATTTTACATTTTATAATAATTAAAGTTTTTAATTCTCTACCCATGGCAAGAGATTTTTCCTCAATTTCTTCCTGGACTTTTTATTTTATGGCAAATATGATGATAAGAAAAGGCTTTCTCAATCTTCAACTTCGTTTTCGATTTTCCTGTTTTACCTATATATCATGTGAAGAACATTTCACGAAATGTTTATTTTACAAGCTGTTGCATTTTTATACAAATGCGATTTCGCACACTGTAGCTGAGATGGAGCTAAGGGGGCGACAAAGGCGTGGCAGCACAGTGACTGTCTTCCACTGATTAAAACGATGCGTCCTCGTGACAGCGATTTTTTCTCGTTAAATCCTTAAATGTCGCTTCGTTTATCGTGAGCTTTGTTTTTTAACTTTCACAGCGACCTCCTTTCCTTCCAGAAGGAATCGGCTTCTGGCCGCTGGTCGCTGGCAGAGCTCAAGCGATAATTTATGCATATATCCATGGTGATTTATGACATTATCCCTCCGGCTCCCGCTTCCAGGAACCATCCTGCTCAGCGACGCTGTGTGTGCCCAGTGGCTCAGCGCTTCTCATTCACTTCTCCGTTCTGGGACACCGCGCAATTAGCTGTGGGAAAAATGAGCAGCAAACAGCAACTCAAAAGATTTCCTTTGTCCAAAGTCAAACAACTTAAAGCTGAAAAACTCTGTTCAAGGCTCCTACTCCCATTACTTTGCATTCCGCATCCACAAACTTGGCGTCTGGCGAGCGGGAAACTGTAACATAACTAACTAAACCGAAGCACACGACTCGAAACGAGAAGGGAATCTCGGCTAGAAAGTTTTCAGATTTGTCATATGCGCATCTCGGAGCTAATGTTCTGACACATGGCTCCCCGACCCAGGGGCCACATGAGTTATGAGTTATGACTTGAGAGGTGAGATCTCCTCAAATGGAATGCGGGCTGACAGCTTAATTACGGCAGCCGGGACTCGGATTCGGCTGCACTCGGCCCCGGGCGGGATTTTAATTAACTGGGCCAGAATTTTATTAAAACTGCTGCGAGATCTAATTTATTGGACGAGTCAAGGGGCCCGAAGTTTGATTTCAGGTTGACTGAACAAAGAGAGCTCGAATTTCGAGCCGAGCTAATTCTGGGTAAATCACAACTCAGATGAACATGTTTGGCTCCAAGATATGAAGCGATGGTGTATATGTCCAGTTAAAAGTTTTCGTTTCTTTTCATTTCTTTTTTCAGGAAGAAACAACTCCTGTTACAGACTGAGGCCTAATTTATGCAATTAAGTGATTTAATTTGATTAGCTTCCACCCAGAGGCAAGCATAATCAGAAGCCAAATCAGAAACTCCTCTAAGGTGGAGCCATCGGCAGATTGCACTTGTCATGTTCGAATAATTGCGTATGTCCTTGGGCCCAAAGAAGAACACTAGACGGGTGTGGGAATGGGATGACGGGGGAATAGCTGCGAGCAGACAACAAACAAACACGCATGACGTGGAGAGCAGCTCATAAAAATCACTCATACGCAATGGGCGACAGCAGCAATGGGCAGGACGCACAGGACTTGCAGGACAAGTTTCAAATGCTACTTGTAACTTTGTTACAACAGCCACCGCCAAGCAGTAAATGTTGAAAGTTGCTCGCATCGTGTTTGTGCTGGGAATGGCAAAAGTTTCTTTTTCAGAGCTCTACACTTTGTAGCGAGCCAACTGCCGGCCAATGCCAATGTCTCGTCAGGAACCCTTTTTCAAGTCCCGCATCTAGTTTCCCACTCATTTGCTCAGTGAGTCAGTGAGTCATTGTTTTGCAACCGCAATCTCGCAGACGTCCGATGAGCTCCTCCTGCACGGCGAGAAAATATTGCTCAAGTTGAGCCGCAACAATTAAAGTTCAAGTGATATTTTGTAAAGTTGTACTCTCAAAGTTAAACTAGTATTAGCGTAATAATATTTAATAAATAATATTTATGAAGGGAAAAGCCATAACACCACTTGAAAAATATTTCACTTTTTCTGGTTTATCTTGAAATATCATAAACAGAATATATTTCTTTTATAAAATAAGAAATATTTCTCCCCTTGTATCCAGTTTCTAGTCCTGATTGCCATTTCCGTTGTGCGTATTGTTCTGGCTGTGGCTTTGGCAGTTGCAAGTTTACACTGTGTGCTCTTGTGGATTATGTGAAATTATCGAGGATTTCCGGGATAATGGCGAATCGTGTCTCCTGCTAATGCATGGCATCGATTCGGCTTAGAACAATAATTTTGCTGACCCGAATCTATTGAATTAAGCTGAAAGCATTTTCATTACATGTCACTGCCACATGGCCAAAATGAATTGGTGAGTTTAGGAGCCGGGCTGGTTTGTTCTACTGAATTTTGTTAAATTTGCTCATATTTTAAACAGCTTTAAGCTCCCTTTCTGGTCTTGCATTGCCATTCCCCCGAGCAGCATCAATTGCAAAATGTCTGAGCCATTTGCATAGAGTTTTTCCCGGGCTTGCGGAGCGGCGAGGCGAGCGCTGTGGGGCCGGCGGTGGTAAAAGTTTTATGTTAGCAACGAAGAACGATAATTTGCAGCAGTTACAATATTTCATGGAATATCTCTTGGCTTCTTCCACGCCGCAAAACTTCAATAGAGCAGCAGCAATAAAAGACGAACAAGATTTTTCCTTTGCTTTATGGCGGGTTCAATATTTTGACAACCGCAAAGTAACACAAATAATAGACAAATTTTCATTCTCCCTCTGTGGCCATATTTTTCTCTGCCAAGTGTCGCAGACTGGAAATTTGTCAATTGAATAAATTGTGCTAAATATACATTTGTAATACATTCGAATATACATAAATAAATATGCAATGCGTCTTGCCATTGTTTGATTCCGTTCTGAAGTTTGTTCGAATTTTTCCTGTCCTCGTGACTGCTGCTTTTGTGGCCACTCAGCGCTAATGGACTTTAAAGTGTGTTCTCAAGCGTTCATTGCCAGATTCCGCCTCAGAGACAGTCGCTGGATATCTGAAAAGTTTCCTCCAAGCTGCTTCGCTTGCATTGTTGTCGCACATATCACGCATACGCCCCGTTTCAGTGCTGCTGGCCGGACCAAAAACGAACGGATCGCCTTGGAACACATCCAAGAGCAGCTCCAATTCCAGGAGCAGCTGGCAAAATAATAAACTGCCAGCCAACACCAACCCAATCACAATTACATTTACACTCTCCGACCGACGACCGACCGACCGACCACCCGGGCACAAGAAGTCTTCGGTGGCCCGTTGCCTTTGTTTTTCCAATTTCGCAAATGGCTTTCATGCATGTGCGAATGGCTGTGGGTTAATTAGCAATATCAGGGCACTTAAATTCGGTACAGATTATAACACCAAAAGTTTCTCCTTCCCAGCCGGGCAGCCGTGCTGTGTGCGCCTTTGTCCTGCCATCAGTTCAATTCTCCAGTTGCTCATTTCTCGGGAGTGAAGCTGATTGTGTTTGCGGCCGAGTTGGCTATTCGATTGCCAAGTTTTTGGCCTTTTTGCAGCATCTGGAAATAGTTGGCTTTGGGATAAAGACTTGAACCCTGGCACTTCGGTTGGAAAGCATTGGAAGAGAGCATTTGAATAATTCCGAACCTCATTTAAAGTGCATCAGGATGCCCGAGAAATGCCTGAATACAACGATCAAAAATGCATTACCGCACTTGCAGGCAAACAAAAAGAGGCGAGCTGGGCAAAGCAACACTAAATGCACATTTAAAAATAAATGAGCAACGGTTTTTGGAAATTAACTTTCAACAACATGTGTTGAAATGCATTTATCTTCCGCACCCCCGCGGCGGGCCCTGCAGACTCAGTTTTTCTACAGGATACAAAGGAAGAAATGGATAAAATAGAGGTGGAAATTAATTTGAGCGAAAGAAAAAGAAGTGGAAATTATGAGTGGCTGCCAAATTGGGCTAAATGAGCCCAGGCAAGTGGAAATTAAATGGGAAACCTACACTCGTACAGAAACAGTCTTGCTGCACAGGCTCCTTTCCTCCCCATCCCCATCGTCATCGCCATCGCCTCCTATTCCCATGACCACTCAAGCCTTCTGGTCTGGGCCCGGAGCCACTTGCATTATGATTGCATCATTTGGGGCTAATTTGCATTTAAATACTTGGCTGTGTTATTGTTCGAGTGCAGCAGGAAAACTTTTCATACAGGAGCTGGAGGCGAAGCAGGAGCAGGAGCCAGAGCCGGAGCAGGCAGGAGCAGGCCCTGGGCCACTTTGGACAAAGTTATGCCAAGTCAAGGATATCACGAAAATTGTCCTGCTACAGCCGGAGTCGAGCCGGACAACTTCTGTTAATGCGTTTGAATAATGAATGGGTGCGGGGAGCAGGGCAAGGATAGTGTATGCCTCGGAGCTGGGTTTCGGGCCACATCCTTGCACCTTGGAATCGCCGAATAATCCCGCAGTCCTTAGCAGATAACAATGTACAAACTGGCGCCGTCGGCATCCAGCCGTTGATGGTCATTACTTAAAGCGTCCGTCCGATGCAGAAACGCGATAGCTGGGAGCCGGGAATAAACTCTGAGAAAATTAGGAAACTGCTTCAATATTTAATTCAATAATTAATATTTATGTACTTTGAGAGAGTTAGAAGACCGCCTAGCCAAATGTGAATATAAACATTTACTGTTTATTCGAACCATTTCGGTTTTATTGGTTTTGTATTTCTAGAGGAATGCTTTTGATTGCAATATTCGTTATAATGGCTAGACTTTTTATTATATTTCTGAATCACGAATTTTATCCGAGTGTGGGGAAGTGAGAACTGCCGGGCATCTGCCTGGTGTAGTCAAGTAGAGCGAAGATTTATTGAATGGCAAATGAATCATTTCTCTCAACTCTTTGGCGCTGAGACCAGCTACCAGATCTTGCTCTCACTCACTGTCTCTTTCGCTCAGTATGCCCCTCTCCCTCACTCTCATTTCGTCGCACTTTTAATAACTTCTATAAAAGTTTTATGTCTCTCGGTGGCAGCAAACTTGCATGCTGCTGCAACGGAGCAAAAAGTTTGCGTGTGTTTGGCACTTGAAACTTTACTTTCGCGAGATCAAAAAAGTGCAGGCTGCATGGAAAGGCGGGACTATATATACTATAAATGTATGTATATATATATCGAAAGAGGTGTGTGTGTGTACGCAAAGCAAAATCGGTGGAAAATAATCGCGTCAAGTATTTAAAGTGGCATTAAAAATATTGAAAAACTCGATAAATACTTGTTAAGTATGCTGCTGTTGCTGCCAGATAATCTGCCCAGGGGGGCGCCGTTGGGGAGAGTAGTTATGCCGGAGCAACGGTGCGTATACGTGTTCCTGCACTTTATAAGCGGCTTCAGCTGGCTTCCACTTGCTCTTGCTCTTGGAATTGTTTGCCTACGCTCTTAATGCGATGAAACTTGCCTGAATTTGGGAAAAGCCTAAGCGAGTGCTTTAAGAAATAATGTTGAGAGAGCAGTCTTTAAATATTTAAATTGGAAATGGCTTAGCAAGGTATTAAATTTTATATAAAAATGCTGGAAAAAGTCATTTTTACCAGATCGAAGTTTGTAAATGGGATCAACTTCCGAAATTGAAAATGATTTTTAATAAATCTGACTTTTTTAAATTTTTAAAACAAGTTTCCAACTGCATAACTTATAAAATGCCAAATTGTCAGCTCTGTTCTATGCCCATCTGTATTTGCATCCCCGGCTGTCACCGCAAATGTGTTTGCCAAAGATCACACAAGATTGCGATGCGTTTCATTAATTTCATTCATTGCGCCAATTACTTTTGCGGTTCCAATAGAAATCGTAGGGGAACGCCACAGATGCAGATACAGATACATCTTAGCCTGCGTTGCCGATGATGTGTGGCAGCTTATTCAGTTCAGGCAATTGATTTGCCAATTTTCCAAATAAACAAGCGGGAGAGTTGCACACGAATTCGGGTATTTGCCTCAGTGCGCCGGTCTATCAATTACCGGGCCAACGAGACACGAGACGGACAGGTGGGAAAATGGGAAAATGTATCTCTAGGGTAGCTGCTAATTGGGCTCCATCTCCACAGTTTTAATTAGCCAACGCAATTGAGTGATTGCCCAAATGAATGGGTACTTGCCGCCGCATGTTGTCCGGGACTCGAGTAGTTATCAGTTGACAACTGTTCAAACACCTGTTTATTGTTTGCACCTGCGAGATACCTTTAGAAATAGAAGTACTATAATTTCTAAGAGCAATCAGAAATGTGGCTTGAGCTGGGTTTTAGAACTCCATCAAAATGTGAGCCTCTTTAGCTCAGTGGCAGAGCACTGGTCTTGTAAACCAGGGGCCGTGAGTTCAATTCTCACAAGAGGCAAAGGTCAATGTGACTTTTTTCTATAATTTTTTTTATATTTTTTTGTAGTGCCGCCAAACTGTGCATATTTCAAGCCTGATTGAGCTGCAGCGTCGCTTTTGGGGGGTCTTCAATCAGGAGTTGACATTTTCGTTATTTGACTTATGTAGGCGCGGGGATCATTTGCCGCTGACTTCTACCCGAATTCCCATTTCCCCGCCTAGACAAGTCAATTGACTGACGGCAGAACACGTTCCCCTCCCGCTGCCATCAGAGACTTGGTGAATATTTACTGTGGGCAAAACAGGCTTCTTTAGAGGTAATAAAACCTATTGAACCTAACAATAGAACAGTCCCGGAAAAATTACAATAAAGGAAGTCAGTTCGTAAGACGTAAGTTGTAGTTAATAAGATTAAGCTCTCAAACTTTTTAGAAGCCCAATCGATCCTTTTATCCACTGTCCGCACACTGAGATGCAATAATTTGTGATGCCATTGACGTTTACCACCTCCTCCAAACTGCACACTCCATCCTCGATCCTAGCCCCCTTTCCTGACAGACACCACCCGCAAACACACACGCACAGCGAGGGAACCGCAAGCCGAACGATTCACTTCCGCCGAGATCCTTTGGCAACTTCATCATGCGCATATTCACAGTTCATAAAACCGACTGGGGAGCAGGGGGGGACTGACTCGGCAGGAGGACTCGGGCTGGGGACAGGACAGGACTGACAGCGGCTCAGTAAATCGAAATAAAAATTTATGTGCACATGTTTGAATTTATTGCCCGTCTTTGGGTGCCAGCCATCCCCCGACGGATCCCACGGACGTGGATGCGAACGTGGATGTGGATCCGGGCGCAGATTGCGAATCCTTGGCGGCGCTCGCTTGCGTGTGTAAATGTTATTCAATCGAATGTGAAATCATATGAGCGAGCGCTTGCTCTCCACTCATAAACATTTTATTTACCTTTAATTTCGTGAAAAGCTTCTTTTTGTGCGGCCCCCGTGATTTGCCGGCGCGGATTCGACGCTCCCCTGGCCAATTCTATGCGTGCGATTTTTATGACTAAATAAAATGATTTTTTATGCCGTGGCAGGAGGAGTCGCGGCCCCTGACGCAAAATGGCAATTCTTTGTTTACCCCATGAAAGTGTTTAGCCATAAACACACAGCGACACGGTTCCACTTGAGTTATGGCCGAAATTCCCGCCCAAACTGGCGCAATATTTTTATAACCGAATTGATGGGATGGCACCGTTAATCAAATGTTCTCGGCAATTGTATTTTGACTGCGACTTCAGCTGTAAATACTTCAATAAATACTTTGATACAAGCCCTTGACCCCATGAAAAGAGTCCTCAACGATGTTAGAGGTATACTACGAAAAAAACGCATAAGTTAACCCGGAAATATTTTACAAAAATATACATTCCATTCATCAGAAATTTATTTATTGGAGCACCGAAAGTTGCGAGTGACTTTTAGCAAGCGTTTAAAAAAGCGATTCAATTTCAAAAGGATCAGCCAGTATCCCTAACCTAAAGAACTTATAATTAAACTTGGACTTGGACTTCATTAAGCATGGTTGCGCTTTCAGTTCTTCTTGGACAGGGCGACGAACAGGTCACGGGCATAGCGTCGCACGGCCTTGCCGTTGTGGTTCTGCGGGATCTCATCCGCGAACTGGACGCCAGCGCGCAACTGCTTCTGGATGTCGGGAAGTCGCTTGGCCACGTGGTCTATTACCTGCTGGGCGGTGAGGGTTACGTTATCCTCGCGGACAATCAGGGCTCCGGGGACGTCGCCCTGTGTCTCATCGTAGATGCCGATGACGCAGACGCGCTTCACCTCTGGCATCTCGTCGATGACCGCCTCCACCTCGGCAGGCCACATCTGCAGGCCCTTCCACTTGAGCACCTCCTTCTTGCGGTCGGTCATGTACAGGTAGTCGTCCTCGTCGAAATAACCCATGTCGCCGGTGTGAAACCAGCCCTCCTCGTCCTGCATCTCCTTGGTGGCCACGGGGTCCGCGAAGTACCCGTTCCAGTTGAAGCCGTTGTGCACGACGATCTCGCCAGTCTGGTTCGGGCCCAAGCTGTTGCCGTCGTCGTCCACGATCTTCACCTGGATGCCCGGCAGTGGGTTGCCAGCCGCAGTCAGCTTCAAGTGTCCATGATTAAACACAATGAAGCCCACTTCAGTCATGCCGTACGAGGAGTTTAGCACTCCGTTGGGCGCCAGCTTCTTGATCCTCTCCACGGTGGCCTGCGTCATCCGGCCGCCGCCAAAGTTCAGCTTGGTGAGACTGCCCAGAGCCTCCGGCGTGGCCGTGGGGCAGTCCAACAGGGCGCAGCAGTGCTCCGGCGGGATCAGGGCGTACGTGATGCGGTACTTGCTCACCAGGTAAACAAAGTAGTCTGCGGTGAAGGGCTTGCTGCTGATGATGCGTGTGCACCCGTTAACGGTGCTGAAGATGGTGGCCCACAGACCCGTGATCCAGTCCAGGCTGGCCGAGATGAAGATGGTGTCGCTGGAGTTGACGAAGCTGCAGAAAAAGAGATATAGGAGAAGGTACTTTTATTTTGATTTATTATTACTATTATGGACGTGGAAAAACCAACTTACACAGTCTCCTGAATCAGGATATCGTTGGAGATGCACACAGCCTTGGGCATTCCAGTGGTGCCGGAGGAAGTAAGGATGGCCACCGTCTGCTTGGGTCCTTCCTTCAAGGGAGTTGGCCTAATATGGACGAAATAATTGTTATATAGCCCGAATCGGAAGATTCCTAATGCCCCACTCACTGGTAGTAGAACTCCGTCTTCGTTGGATGCAGCAGATCCTGTATGCTGAGGACGCCCTCTTTAGTGCCGGTGGTAAGGATAATCTCTGGCTTGAAGTCGCTAGTGGCCGAGTACAATTTCTCATAGTGCACGGCATCAGTGAAGATTACCTTTGGCTTGGAGATGGTGTACAAGTGCTTGAGTGTGGCTGCAAGATACATATTATAGAAAATTTAAATAATAATGTAAATGTAATACTAATACTTACATTCTTCCAGAATGGGGTTCGCCGACTGGAAGGGTGTTCCATGGAAGAAACAGGCCACTGCGATGGGCATCACATAGGTAGTGTTCTTGGCGGAGATGCCAATGATATCCTTGTGGTCCAGGCCACGGCTCTTCAGGTGCTGTGCGATGCGAACAGCCCAGCTGAGAGCCTGACCGAATGTGACCTCCACGCCCTCGGTGTCTGAAATCTGGCAAGACCCAAGACAGGTAAAACATGTCCTGGTAACAGGAGCAGCAACGGCAAACCGGACTCAACTCACCTGGCAGACATTCTGGGGCCAGTTCCTCATGTTCCTGAAGATGACACGACCGAGGGAGGTGTCCGGCTTGAAGGGGCTGTACTGGGGCATGCCCTTCCAGATCCGCTTCTCCGCGTCGTAGCTGCAGGGTAACTTGGACATGTTTGCTGCGAGTTGAGAGTTTCAGTGCACACCCGAAAGATCGTCCGGTATCTGTGGGCTGTCCAGGCGACGGGCCTACTTATAAAGACGCGGATCCCACGGGGCTTATCGCCGGCGATAAGCATGGCCTAGGTTAAGTGCAAGGTATCAATGAAAGATAAACACTAGTGACCAAAGTTGGCCCGTGTATGCATATATTATTCAAAGTTAATCGGATTGCTTGTGCGGGCTTCATTAATTGAAGGGTGTCCTTAGTCACGATAAGCGTTATTAAATTTTGGCCATTGACCAGTCAATGGCAACGACCATCCATCCCTAATTTCCTCACAGTTTATCTGCGTTCCGGGTCTCGGATTTCCCTCTATCAGGGCTTTATGTAATCTTGACTGGGACTGTTGCCGCTTTGGGTCACAATTACAGGAAGGAAATAGCTGCGACTATTTTATTTATAAACACAAGCCGTTGCCTTGGGGCTTTCCGAACATTCAAGCAGATTGTCAAACCCCATGATAAAGATAAATATCATAAGCATTTTCTTTTGCCTGAGTTTATTTTGATAAAGGGCAGACCCTGTGGGGTCTGCCGGCATATCAAATAGATTAAACAAGCTCTTCGACTTCCTAAGGGGCGTTTGGTAAATACAATTTGGACTTTGTACCAGGGATACCTCAAGACGTCCGACATCGTGATATCAGAAATGGAATGGAAAGTTTGAGCATTTTTTACCCAACATTTTAATTAGTCACCAGTGGGGATTATCGGCATTGACACGCGCTCTTAAGGTGCTCAGTTGGGTTTATTTAAAAGTATATGTAGGCGGCGCTTCGATATGAATGCAGCATGATATCCCATTGAGCGTACCCAAGATAATTCGGGAAATTCCCTTCAAACGAAATCTGCCCAATTCAGCGAAATTGAATGGGTTTCCTTTCGGCCAGCCCTCTATGCTCAATTCTCTGCGCTTTTCAGGTTTTATTTCCCTTTTTCTGCGCTGCGGCTGACAAAAAGTTGGTGCAGCGAGAACGTTATTTAAATACCTTGGCGAAAAAGTTCTCTCGCAAGATATTTGCAAACATCTGTTTCCTGATTTTCCAGCTACGGCAGTCGACATTCGGCAGCAGGCAGCAGGCAGCCGGCAGGGAAAATCAACTTTCCGTTCCCGGTGGCACGTGAACTAAAACCAAATTCTGTGGCAGGGCTGCTGATGATGAAGTTCGGCTACGGATGAAGCTTCATACTTGAACAGACGACTAGTTGCTCTGTATCAAGACCTGGAATCTAGTTGTAATATTAAATATTAACACATAAACCTTAATGTAAACCGGAATGTACTTTAAGCCTTAACGAATGAATTGTCTAAAATTCGAGGACTGTTGCACCCAATTCAAGACTTACAGACTCTGTACTTTGATTTAATTGTAGCCACCATCGTGCTATCTTATCTGTTACCTGGATAAATATTATTTCGCAGCCGAAACTAACGTAAGCAGACGTCACCAGTGCCTGGGATTTACACAGATCAGAGGAAATGGAAGTTGATAATCGCGATACCCAAGGGTATTCCGTAGTTTGGGTCTTGGCGCATAATTTTCTTGGCTCGGCATGAATGAAACTATTTTTGTCGCTGCGGCTCTTGTTCGATTCTCAAGATACCCGGACTTTAAGGAACCGGCGCGCCGGTTGGTGGAAACTCGCGGTCCCATTTAGTTGGGTATTCTTATGGCGGCTAACTAGCCAGCTGGCCAAATGGCTAACTGAGTAAATGGCTAAGGTAGTTGTTTGGGTTTCCCGCCCAGTGACTCGGGGCTGTCCATCCGTGGGGGCTGCGCTCTATTTTCCTTCGCTGAATTGCTGGCTGTGCAACTTATTCGCATTCTGTTGCAGAAGCTGCCTTTTTGCTGCAGCTCCACCTCTTGCAGTTCAGTGTGTTATTATGCACTGCTTTTTTCCTAGTCCTGCCTTTTTATTCGTCCTTTTTCCGTGTCGCTTCTTTGGCCCGTTTCCTTTGCTGCTTTCCTTCTGCTGCTGCACACAAGTTTTTCATTTGTAATTCAAGATGTCAGTCAGCTGGGAGAACCAAAACTTAATTAAAGTTCCGCACTTTTACAGAGGCAGCTCCCAGCTCCTGGCTTCTAGCCCCTGCGTCTCATCCCCGTAGATCCGTCCCGACCTTATGTATGTATTTAGACAGTCCCGGAAAGTCCGCCCATTTCGTTTAAATTCAAAGTGTCTGTCCGACTCCGACTCGGAGTCCTTCAGCTGCAACTCTCGGCCGGAGCACCTGCAGCAAATGTCCGGAGCGGCAGGACTTTGTTGCCCTCGCCTCCGGCAACGGGTCACCTGTCCCCGTTCCTTTCGTTCCAAAGCATGTGAGAGCGTAATTTTATGAGCTTATTTCATACTTTTCAGTTCTAATTTGTTTTCATGCTCGTTGCCATGTGCAGATTGCGACTTGTTGAGTCCCCCTGGCAGAGCTGGGGCTTTCCTTTTCATTTCGGTTGCCGGCTGCTGATATCGGTTTCACTTACGGCTCACCATAATATAAAACATCTAATTTAATTAGGTGCCACCGACCGGTGTACTTTCCCATCTCTTTTTGCTTCCTGGCTGGTATCTGGAATCTGAGGCAGCAGCAGGAAAAGTAGGAGGACTCATTATGTATGCATTGAGTTTCCAGTGTCCAGTGTCGTGTCCAATGCCAGCGCCAGAGAAACTTTTTGATAACTGTAATTAGCATATGAAGAAATCAGACTCGGACATTTTTCTTTTTCTTTGGAGCGCAGACAGGCGGAAGGCCGTTAAATGTATTCCATTCCGATTAGACCTGCTGAGCTGTGGCAGTAATTAAAGATGGAAGTTAAGGTGGCGTGGGCGGAGGGAACAGCCATGCTGGTTAAATATGCATGGAGCTAGGTAGTTATATTAAAGATGTTTAGTTCCTGGTTGAGTTTCCAAAAAAAAAGTACTAACATGGAGAAAGTAAATATTTCAACATAAAGGATGTTTAGCTAGGTTTATTTATTGGCCAACTATGTACATCGAAATTGTAACAGAATCAATTTAATCAAGGCTCACTAGTTGTTTAACAAATAAAATCCTGTGCAAATCAATAGCCTGTTTAATTTTGATATTGAGAATGGCAATTTCCCAATCGCAAATAAATTAGTTCCATCTATCTATAGTTCCTGTAAATATTAGACAGCCAAAATAATTTATTTAAATAATTTTAAAAAGCCTGATTTAGTCAGATTTTGCATTGGGTTTATTAGTAAAATCATCCTACGGCAACATGGCGTATACTCAATAAATGCATTTGCGGAAATAAGGGTTTAAATGCATTATGGTAAGCTATGTAGATAGGGTTAACACAACAATCTTTAGCTTCAGTTTATGTTCGTAACCTATGTTTTCCATTTACCTCGATTTAGCCCATTGGACGACTTACTCGTTATCCAAGAGAATTATTAACCACTTATTCCTGATTCAATTGTGTGCTCGCCATATTCTCCCTCATATATCTACGAATTCAATCGCCGTTCTTACCATATCTTGGCCATTTAAATCCGAAAATCTCTCTCTTAGCCCCAGAGAGCTCCCTCGGTTCTCGTTGCATCTATAAATACCGTCTTGCTGCACTGCCCGTATCCGTGGGCTACGTCACTGAGCCGTGGGATTATCAGCGTATTGCCTTCCATTGGCCATTGGCAGACCAAACCAGAAGCGCGAAAGGTGGCCAATGTCAATGCCGTGGCCTTGGGGAACAGGTGGCGGCGGGGTGCGGACATGGCCAAATGCAAATACAGACCCCGAAAACAAAATCGGAATGAAAGTGCCAAACAGTGGCGGCAAAGGCACTACAAAATAATCCAACAGTCGCCGCCAGAGAGTCACTTGCCATGGCTTCCGGCCCAAGGGGGAAGGGGAAGTGATGCCAGGGCGATGATTAAATCAGTTAAGAGCCATTGGCCATTGCAGCCGCAGTCCGTTCTCCTAACCACTCTCACCTTCACACCCAGAAAATCGAAACAAAAAGACAGCAAAGGCTCTCTCGGGCTTCCGCTTTTCGCCGTCGGGTGTTGTTGCGCATTCTGTGTTTTGCTCTCAACGTTTATTTTGGCCTTCTTTTTCTGGCCAAATGATTTAATTTCATGCATTTCGCTTTGCGGCTCTGGCGATGCTTATTAGTTGCAATTTGCCAGCTGCGGCCAGAGTTAGTTCGTGCCGAAAGCCCACAACGAGCCCCACACCAAAGCAAATAAATTAAATAATCGGAATAATTGCTATCCCAAGAAGTTGATAGTCGCAGGATGGGTAAAAATAAGGGTGGCGGTGGCGGCGGAGGAGGAGGAGGAGGCGGCGGCGGAGGGGGTGGCGGCAATGTAAGCAATATTTGTGTTATGCAACTAGCGTACTAACTGTGAGTCAAACTACTGATAATTCTCGTCTAAATGCTTAATTCAGTTTGCTTTTAGCCCTAAATAGAAGAGTTAATATTGCAAAACTTCCTTGGATTTCAAATAGTTTCCACAAAATAACTAATTAAAAATGCCTCGAGGTATTTTTTTAACGAATTTAATAAGCAAACATAAACCTAATTTGGTTTGAATAATATAGTTAAATGTTCATGTGATATTTTTGTTTGCCCAAATTAATTAAAATATACCCTAAAGGCAGATTGATTTATTATTTAATACATAAAAATTCAAGTTCTAAATAGGTTTTAATAACTTATTACATTATTATTGTACGGGCTTAAATAAAGGTTCCTTTTTAAAGCCTCCTCTTTGGTATGAGGGGCTCAACTCCCACTGCAATCCCACGACACTACTAACCTTTTCTCATTAACTGACTTTGCTAGCAACTTTAAACAACCGTGGCTCATTATTTGCCGAGTCACAGCTCAAAGAGAAATCTTTCCGTGTTTCTTCTTTGCCCACAGAAAAAAGGAGGTGGCGGCGCAGGAGCTGCTGCTGGAGCCGGGGCGGGAAATAAAAACAAAGGAGGCGGTGGTGGTGACAAAGGTGGAGCCAAGAAAGGACCAGAGCCAAAGGCAGCCGCAGGCGGTGGCAAGAAAGGAGGCAAGAAATAGCAACGGTGGCAAACATCAAAGCGCATTAAAAATTACAAATTTAGAATTAAGCTGAAATTAAACGTGGTATCGGGGAATATGTATCTGTAATATATATATATGTGACTCAACAAACGTGTTTGCTACAGGTTGGTTACAGGTTAAACATTTCGAATGCTTAGCTTAACAATGGAACGGTTGCGCGAGGCCCCTCCGAATTCCACTCGGATGCACTTCACAGGCCACTTGAGTTGACTTTTCTAGCGAAACCACTCCTGAGACATCCCGAAGAAGGAGGCTGCGCTTGACTTGGATTTTCCGCTGTCTGCCTTGCGGGCTCCACTGCCCCCGGACTTCCGCGTCGGTGTCGTGGTCGTTGGCACCGCCTGGGGGTGAGAGCGAAGAGATAGAGGGGAAAAGCGAAATGTTTTTAATTAATTAGTACTATTAATTGGTAGTTTGTCTGATTAATCTGTTAATTTGCGGTTGAACTCTCAGATTTATGGCGAACAACAAGCAAAGGGCAAACAGAAGGCAGACATAATTAGAGAGCGATTTATACCGGCGGAGATCGCAGCTAATTACAAAACATGCGAGAAACGACCAAGGAGCCGAGGCCATAAATTAGCGTTTGCCCAGCGATTTGATTTCAATAATTGCAGCGATTCATTAATTAGCATCTGAGGCACTCAGCTACACACATACCACCACACACGCGCACACACAATGTACACACAATCATCCTGCCGATGTCCTGGCCATCCACTTGGAAATTTTGGTTTCGGCTTCGAGCCTCGAAACTTTTGCCAAGCACTTGCGGGCGAAGTGAAGAGAGCCGGGGAGCGGCGGCAAGTTGCACCTAATTAAAATTTGTCTTGCGGCATTCTGGTTATTTATTGCTGGCCAAACCAAATTAGTTTAATTAAACTGCGGCTTCAGTTTGAAGAGCCTCTCAATTCGGAAATGAAGCGTCTAGTAAGAGCACAGGAGGGAGGAACTGCCACTCGCTCAAAATGTTTGTTAGGTAAAGCTAACCATGCAGCATGCAAACTAGTAACGAAATATCAACAATCAAGTACACTTCCTACCCAACCAGAGCAAACGATGGAACTACGTAGTGACTTAGGATTGCAAGAGAACGAAATCCTAGGAGAGAAACGTTGGAACAGATAATTACAGCTCGATAAAGATTGCAAAAAGAACCGATATATACATTCCGAGCGATTGACTTACTTTCTCCGCCGGCTCAGGGGCCAAGATCTTCCGCTCGCTGGCACTCCCTCCTCCTCCGGCCGCTTGGGACATCACAATTGGCAGCAGGGGGAACCACAGCGACGTGGACCCCGATGAGCTAAGACACAGCACATTGGGATCGGCTTCGTGGGCCAAGGCACTGCTCAGGCTTGGAGCAGCTGCCAATGGCGTCAGTACTCCCAGTTCGCCCTGCAGGCGACCAGAGGCTCTGGCCACATGCGAGGTAATGTGTTCGGCAAACAGCTCGAAGTCAAAGGGATCGATGCAGTCGCGCAGCTGATTCTGCTGGGCATGGATCTGGTCGTAAAGAAGCCTCTCCTCACGGCTGATGGCGAACACGCGCTCCAGGAACTTCAGATCGAAGTACAGCTGTAGGGCAATGTTCTGGCTGGACTTGGTGCCCTCCGCTGAGGTGAGTCCCTTGTAGTGGGCGAGTAATTTCCCCAAGAGACGCTGGTTAAAGGCCTGCAACACTTTGGGGGGCAATGTCTGGGGTACGGCCATATTCAGTGCCTGGATCAACTGATGGAGATACGTTTGAAGGGAGAGCCGCGGCTGGCTGGGAATGCGAATGGTGGATTGAACGCTTTTGTCTTGCTCCTCGTCACGCTGTTCCAGCGTTAAGGTCTGCCAGAGCTGAAACACAATTCAAGAAAAGCTATTGAAAAAATGTAAACTATAGAAAACAAAAATATAGTTACCGCAAAATCCCTCAAGACCACTTCGTGGTTGATGACCTTCGGCAGCCTGTCCTCGCAACTGTGACCCGCCAGCACATCGTCCACGATGAGCAGCCAGAAGCTGAGCATTTCCTCCTCGATTAGTCCGCAAATGCGCTGCCAGTGTTCAATACCAACGCCAGCCGAATTCGCAGTCCACTGTCGCCAGCTGGAGGACTGGCAGAAGCACAACTTCAGGTTGGGACACAGCTCCACCAGGGCCAGACTGTTGCGCAGAGCCAGGAGCAGAGCGGGACGCTCCCTCAACTGCAGCCCCTTCAGGTTGCTCAGATACTCGGTGAGCTGCTCCTGAGCTGTCTCGCGGAGGAACGTGATTAGCGAGAGTTTGTCCTCCGACCGCGTTGTCTGCTCCTGGAGCATCACATTCAGCTCCTGGACAATGTCTGCCAGTTGTGAGTCAAACTGCTTGCACAGCTCCACGGTGGCCCCATCGTACCCCTTCGTCCGGTTTGCTAGTCTCTTTGGCTGATCGCTGAGGGCCGCCGCCAAGCTCAGGGGCAGATCGTCGCTCTGCTCCCGCCATATCTCATGCGGACCCTGGACCTGGCCGGATTCGATGAGCACCAGAACCCGCTCGTAGGTCTGCTTCATGGCCGCCGCCCAGCTGCTGCGGATAATTTCCCTCACTCGGGCGTTGATCAGCGGCACATACTTGCGGGCGTAGAAGTCAAGCTGGCTGTGCTCCAAGTGCAGCTTTTCCTCAAGGCGCACGAAGTCTGGCCTTCCATTTGACCTGGCTGCCGACTTGATGTCCTGGATGGTCTGCATGTTGCTGACCAAAGCGAAGACCTGCTGCAGGTGAGCCGCTGCCAGGGCATTCATCTTGTCCAGCCACTGCTTGAGGGCACCACCCAGCTGCTCAGGAGTCAGCTGGGAAACCTTGAACTGCGGCCGGAAGCCAGCGATGATGTCTGGCAGCAGGTGTGCCAGCTGCCTCTCGCCACTTTCCATTCGGTTGATGCTGGGTGGGCACGTGGAGGAGGCGCAGTCCGCCAGCCGGGTGAACAGAAGGCCATCATCTGTTGAAAATTATATATGTAGAAACGAAGAGACCTCTGCGATTTATAATAATATAACCACTCACCTAGCAGGCACTTGTCCAGCAGTTCCACAGTGTCATTCAGCACGCCCAAGCTGGCTAGAATACGCTCCTTGACGCGCCGCGACTCCGAGGGCCTGCTCTGAAGGCAGCTTAGGAAGGCGGAGGAGCGCAAACCCAGAAAGGTTTGCAGTACGGCGCCCAGGTCGCTCTTGTCCAGCAACAGAAGACTCTGCAGGCAGTCCACGGCCATCTCGGGCAGCAGTTCCTCCCGTTCCAGGGCGGCCAATACCGCCTGCTTGATGGTCACGTGGAAGGGACGCAGGATCTCCCACTGTTTGCGGGCCACCGGCAGCTTCTGCATCAGTGCACTCTGTCCGTCCAGCTGCAAGCCGGTGCTGATGTGGCGGCTAAAGATAAACAGCTCGGCGGCGGCATAGAAGCGTTCGTTGTCCAAGTGAGTCCAAATCAGTTCTGGCAAGGCGGTGAGCAGCTTGATTTGCGCCATGGTGCCGTAGTACGTCTGCAGCTTCCGCCCTGCGCTCCGCTGATGCAGGGCCGCCTCCGGGCGACTGTCCACCGTGCTGGCACTGGCATTCGCCACCGACTGGAAGCCCAGGAGCTGCTGCTCGTTGAGGCTGCGACAGTTGGCCTGCACGTGACGCACCTGCTCGATGAGCGTGCCCGCCGACGTCTGCATCGCCGCAATGGTGTCCGCCGCCTGCAGCAAGTCCCGGTACCGCTCCCTGCAAGAATTAGAGTGCCATTTAGACAGTGGATTTCCCTTTCGCAGTGCCACATCACTCACCCGACATGGGTGCGCAGCTCCTCGCGCTTGTTCTCCACCAGAGTCTGGATCTTCTTGTGCACCGCGTCGATCTCGGACACGCCGTGCTGCTCGAACAGCGTGTCCACGTTCAGGTTCAACAGGTTGGCCGTCATTTAAATCGGGAAATAACGCCTTTAAAAACAAAAATAGGGACTTAACATCTGACGAACGGCGCTGCCAACTCTTCTTCAGGGAAGTGCTGCCAGACTTCTCGGCGGCGAGCCACTAGCGTTGCCGGACAGGGGATTAGTGTGCCCAGCTGCCTCAAATCAAATTAATCGAAATTCGATAAGACAAAACAAATGTCATCGGATTTCCGGATTTAATAAACAAATGGAAAATTCGCCGCGCATTGTTTATGTTTGCAGCCTGTGCCTGCGCCAATATGATCTCCAGGAGGACCTCCGCGGCCACATGGTGTACTTCCACGGCTGCCAGCCACTGGAATCAGTGCCCGGCAGAAAGGGCAAATCAGCAAAAATCAGGATTGCACAGGATAAACAAATCCCTGACCCGCACTTGGAGGACGTAGACCAAGCGCCCAGTGAGCTCCAGCCCATGCCCTTCAAGGACTTCCGGCTGGTCCTGCGGGCCCACATGCAAGTACCGTAGGTGGGATCTATGAATCCGTATAGGAAACTCTTCCAAATATCCAATTTTTACAGGTGCTCCTTCAGCAAAGACTGTCCCTTCAAGTTCAAGGACGCTGGGAAAATGGAAATGCACTCCATTTGCCACAAGGAGAACAGCTTCGCCTGCTGCGAATGCGGCTTGGAGCTGCCGCATTGGCGCCGTTGCTCCGCTCACCTGTGGAAGGCCCACCAGTTGGATGTGGACTTCCTGCAGTGCCCCGCTCTCGGCTGCAAATACAGATCTCCCGTATCCGCCCTGGTGTGGCGGCACATGCGGGTCCATAAGAAGTGGCGTCCCAGGGTGCTTCGCTCCCTGGCCGCAGTTCAGCGGATGAAGAAGCTCAAGGAACAGTCCGCCGAGTCCACTCAGCCGGCACAGCCGGTGCCTTTGGCGTCCAAGAAGAACAAATACTATGCGGAGAAGACCTGTGAGATTTGCAGCCGGAAATTTGTGAATGGAAAGACGCTCTCCAAGCATGTAAAGACGGTGCACAACAAGATCAAACCGTTTATTTGCAATGTGTGCGGCAAGAAGACTGCGCGCAAAGCGAGCCTAATAGTAAGGATGCAACCTAGTAGCTCTCTTTTACTGGCAAGCTCTCAATGTATTCTCTTATCTAATCCAGATTCACATGCGGCAGCACACCGGGGAAAAACCGCTGCAGTGCGGCGAGTGCAAGTTCTCCACCCGTGATCCCAGTGTCCTGCACAAGCATCGGCAACGGCACGGCAGCCAGGACAGCCAGAGCAGCGGCACCCTCAAGTGCAGTGAGTGCGACTACAACTGCATCCAGGCTAATGCCCTGAAGCGTCACATGCGGCTCAACCATGCTGAGGCCTACCGCGATCTGTGCTGCGACCTCTGCAGCTACACCTCCATCAATGCCGAGCGCTTGCTGGCTCACAAGCAGGATCATCGGCAGGGCCTGATCACGAACTGTGAGGATTCTATGGATGCCACGCGGGCTGCAGGCTTCAAGTATCCCCGCAAGTTGGCCGACAAAAATGGAGAGGTAAGGCCATCATCCTTTATGCTCAAAAATTATTGGGTTAATTGAAAATCCCTGCAGATATCCGCGGATTGCTTTATGCCGCTTGAGAGCGTTGACTCGCTGCCTCATGAGCCTGCCGTGGACACGGGTGGAGTGACCATTCCAGCTCCACCCTCTGAGGACACTCAGTTTCCAACTTATTTAAAAGATTAGTACTAATTATATTTTATTATTATAAATATGGGGGTTTTAACCATTAAAACAGGTCTATATTGGCAGCGATTTAATTTTGTTATATAAATATATTTCTATAAATGCACATTTCTGAATTGAAAATAGATTATTTAATCACAACTTAAACAGGTTTCCTCCTAAATGCACCAATTTTGAGTCCAGTCCCGGTCCAGTCACTCCCTGCCCAATTCCCGGAGCACTGCGTTGGCTATAACAATCCTTTGGATCTCCGAGGTGCCCTCGTAGATCTCTGTGACCCGGGCATTCCGGTAGTAGAGCTCGGCGGGAAGATCCGTGGTGTAGCCCATGCCGCCCAGCACCTGGATGCACTGATGGGCGCAGTAGGTGGCCGCCTCCGAGGCGTGCAGCTTGGCCATGGCCGCCTCCTTGGTGATGGGCATTCCGTTGTCCTTTAGCCAGGCGGCGCGCCAGGTGAGCAGCCGAGAGGTCTCCACCCGAGTGGCCATCTCCGCCAGCTTCTGCTGGATGAGTTGCATGCGCGACAGTTGCTTTCCGAAGGCGATCCTCTTTTGGGAGTAATCCACCGCCAATTCCAGGGCAGCCTGTGCGATTCCCGTTGCCTGGGCAGCAATGCCGATCCTGCCACAGTCCAGCGACTGCATGGCGATCTTGAAGCCATCGCCAGGGGCTCCAAGAACCCGGGATCGGGGCACCTGGACGTCCTCCAGCACCAGCTGGCAGGTGGAGCTGGCCCGCATGCCCATCTTGCTCTCCTTCTTGGCTATGGACAGCCCCTCGACATCCTTGGACGTGAGAAAGGCGGTGATTCCCTTGTGCTTCAGGGCCTTGTCCACGGTGGCGAAGACGAGTCCTCCGCTTGCCTCCTTCGAGTTGGATATCCAGGCCTTGGTTCCGTTGAGCAGGTAGCCGTCTCCCTCCCTCTTGGCCGTGGTGCTGGCGGCTCCAGCATCCGATCCGTTGCCCGGCTCCGACAGAGCGTAAAAGGCTATGTGGGCGCCCTGGGTGTAGGGCACCAGAAAGTCCTGTTTTTGCTCCTCAGTTCCGTGCTGCTGCACTGCGCCCAGAAATAAGTTGTTCACGCCCATCACAATGGACACGGCGGCGTCTCCCCTGGCCACCTCCTCCATGCCAATGGCGTAGGCCTGGTAGTCCAGTCCGGAACCACCTGCGATTAGAAGATAATCAAAATCTTAAAACTAGTATTTAATGTTTTTCTGGAAGAATTAATTACTTGCAGATGTACATATATCGTGTGCAGCAAAAAACTGAGGGCTTATGCAATTAGGCATTTACTATTCAAAGCAATCTTAATTTCCATAAACAATACCACTAGACAGCTAAAGAGCTTGTCCAATTACATCGCTTAATTCTACTTTATTTAGCAAATATTTGTGTTATTAATTACCATATTCCTCCTTTACCGCCACCGACAGGAGGCCGAGCTCCCCCAGTCGCCGGATCTGTTCCGCCGGATATAGCTCTTCGCGATCATGGTGGCGGGCCCGTGGCGCTAACTCTGCATTTGCGAAGTCTCGACAGGTCTTCTGCAGAATCTGGTGGGTTTCTGAGAGCGCGGACAGACAGGCGATACCCCTGTTACCACTAACTACTCCTCCTCTGGCCAAGCTCCATGCTCCGCCAGAGCGTTGACCTGCACATTGACATGGTAAGCGATATAATCAGCCGGGAGTGAGTCAAAACACCTATCTCCTCACCTAGCTTCCGCGCTACTCTGATCAGCTGCTGCATTCCTCAGCTCTCGCTCTCGTCCAACTGATCCCAGAGTCCGTGGTGACAGCTGCGGTTGACGCTGTTGGAGCTTTCGTGGGGTAACGAGTGGATCTAAATGGATCCGATCAGCTTTTATAGGCAGCTTTTCAGCTGTGCCAGCGATAACAGGGGCGTTTATTTGGGGGATTTATGAGGTTTCCTTAATATTTATGTAATTTTTATTCAAGCTTAAATAATTTTAAAATAAATGTAAAATTGTAATATCAATTTAATACAGAATATTTTTCTTAATAAACTTATAATTAAAATCTAGCTATTTTATTTACAATTTGTAACTGGGTTTTAAATGTACAGAAAACCTTTTCATAAGACCCAACGCTGGTTTTATAATAACATTTCCTTTGAGCTTTTTTTGAAAAATTACCGAGTTTGCGGGGTAAAGACCAGAGCCAGAGAAATTAAGAAAAAAGGGAAGTTCAACGCTTTTTAAAGAAAGAAGTATATATATCCAACAGCTCGTTGATTTCCGATTCCCGCAAAATACAAAATTTAGCAATGCAAATCCCCGATACACACCCACTTTTGTTGGCAGGTGCGAGGTCTTAAACACAGAGGGCACATGCACATTCCATATTGTTGTTAAGGGTTTTGCATATAACAGAAAAAAGTTGAACTTTGTCTTCGAATAATGTAAGATATGCAGACCTTTGGGCTTATAGATCTGGTAATTAAAACACAATTTCACTTACAATTTTATTAAAGTTACAAAGTCCTATTAAAACGCTTGTTTTCATATCAAAGTTCTGTGAAGAAGCTTCCTCAGTTAGAAAACGTATGTATACTTTTAGGCAACACCGAAAAAAAAATCGAAATTAGCTCTCTTTTTTATATTTTTTAATGGCGAAATCGGTGCTTTACACTCATCGCAGCACCCGATTTAACATATTTCAAAAACCTCCTTAATCGAAACTCACACATATTCCCTCCCCAAGTTTCACTCTGTTTTAAACTGTTGACTTTCGGCATACCACAAGCTTATTTTATATTCGTAAAAATACAGTCAACATGAATTATCTGATTCAGCGCGGAAAGATGCGCCAGCAGGCGATCAGCGTTCCGGAAGGTCTACCGGAGCTCCTGTCGGACATAACGCGCGAGGTGCTGCGTTGCCAGCCGACGAAGGAGTGCCTCTGCCAGTTCATCATCGACTATCTACACTCGGTGATCGTGACCAGGGAGAAGGCCTTGGGTAAGTGCTAACAACGATTCCAGCTTATGACGATGAGCATCAATAAATGTGGTAACGTAATTCCTCTGTTTAGTGGCCAAGACCATTTTGGACAGGTCTCTGCGCCAGGTGGACAGCATCATCGCGGACCTGTGCATCTGCGATTTGTCCAGGGAGAAGTCCGAGCTGATGGGACAGGTTCTCGAGGAGTGCTTTACCAATTTCCTCGAGAAGCGGCGCTGCGATATGCGGCGCGGCAAGCAGATGATTAACTTCGAGGATGTCGACATGCTGGAGGAGCTGCTGGCCAAGTGCCAGTTCACCGAAGAGGAGCTCAACATGTCGCGGCCCGCCATTGACACTGCCTACAAACGCTTCGTGGACGCCTACATGTCCGCGCAGCGCGGCACCGATGGCACCGAGGTGCTCTACCAGTACTTCCGCGACCGGGAGCTAAAGCGCCTTGAGACGGCTCAGCGCAACAAGGCGGCCATTACCATTCAGGCGGCTTGGCGCGGATATTGGGTGCGCTCACAGTTCCCGAAGGAAATTTGCGTGTGCACCTGTGCAACGGTAAGCAGATCGATTATCCTTTCTCCGGGTTCTTGCCCTCTGTAAGTTTATCCTTTATTGGTCACCCACAGGATAACGTCGACGACGAGGAGGAGCGACGCAGGAATGCAGCGGCCCTTGTTCTTCAACGCTTCTTCCGTCACGTGATGCTAGTGAGTTTTGGTGATACAGAACATACATTAGCTTCGATTCTTATCCCTAAAAAGAAAACCCATTATATACACATACCTGTTGAATCTCGGCTTACAAGACACCAAAGTCTCTGAGCTTTTCTTTCATGTTTTGCAGCGTGCCGGCACCAAGCCGATTACAGATCCATGTGCAGATAGTTCCCACTCGCTCGATAAATCCATATCCTCGGCTGAAAATCCAGTGGATGCAGTAGATGCGAAGAGTGCAGAGGCAACGGTACCCGACACCGCAGCCGCAACAGCTGCTGAAACTGCAGAGGGAACAAGAGCGGCAAGTGCCACGGCAACTGCTCAAGCTTCGGCCGCCCGCTTGGAAACAGCAGCCCCTGCTTTTCCAGAGGAGATTCAAGCAGAGCCGCCGCCACAGGAAGCACCAGAGGCAGAAGCGCCTCCGGCAGAAGTAGTTGTGGAAGCACAACCCCCAGAAGAGACTCCCCCGCCGGCCGAGGAGGCACCGCCTGCTGTCACCGAGGAGGCACCACCTGCTGCCGTTGAGGAGGCACCGGCACCTCCCGCTGTTGCCGAGGAGGCACCACCAGCAGCCGCCGAAGAGGCAGCGGCACCGCCAGCCGAAGAGGCTCCTCCAGCGGAGGAGGCACCACCGCCGGCCGAAGAAGCGCCCGCCGAAGCAGCAGCCGAGTAATGGAGGCAGCACGATTTTATTTGTTTCAATTCTGTGTTAAATTTTTGTGTTCTGCAAGTATATAAATTGATCTAGGACTCTAGTTGGCCTTCGATCCAATCACTGAAGGTGGACACCCGGGTGTAGACGTCCGGGGAGATGAACAGAGCGCAGACAACCAGGCCGTAGGACACTACGCCCACTTGTTTTAGTCCCTTATCCGTTGTTACCAGCGGTCCTCCAGAGTCGCCCTGAAAGTAGAATTGACAATAAGGTCCTGCAGTTTTCTGAAACTAGCCTGACACTTACTGAGCAGGCTCCCCTGAAGGGACCTCGGGCGCAGATTTCCGTATCCGTAACGCTTTCCATGCCCCTGTCCCTGCACTCCCTGTTCGTGATCGTGTGATAACTCATCCGCTGCATGGTGTTTGGATAGTTGATGTTGTCCAGGAAGGGAAAGGGCACTGGCAACCGGAGGCCCCAGCCCGTCAAAGTCACGGGAACGCCGCCGCCCACGAACTCTTTCCCGCGGAACTCTATGGCGCCAATGCTGGCATTGTCAAACTTCAGCGGCGGATCTATGGACAAGACGGCTATGTCGCTGGTCACCAGCTCCTGGTAGTTAGGATGGATGATGTAGGACAAGACTTTGGAGCGAGATCCCCGTTCGTCCAGGCCCCGGATGCCGGCCACCACGGACATGCGACTAGCATTGAGACCCTGGCAACAGTGGGCAGCAGTTAGGATGCGGTTGGGGGCGATGATGGAGCCACCGCAGAAGTGCATCTGACCACCGCGGGTACTATACTGCAGGGACACTTGGTACGGAACGTGCTCTCCAGCCGGGACATCGGAGCCACCCACAATGCGGTGCGGTGTATAACCGCTGGGTTGGCGGGCTGCAGGAAGAGATAATTACTAAGTGAATGCGTTAGATGGAACTTCCACCGCAGCTCACAGTTCAACCGGCCCAAGGTGACTCCCACACTTAGTATTCCGATGAAGAGCAGCTCAGTCAGACGCATCGTTGGTCGGTTAATGCCTGGGGTTTCGCATCTACTGCGCTTCTTAAATAAAAACTTGGCCCCCATTAGACAGGGAATTTGCATAGATACCGCAGATATCTGTCCCACTTGCTTATGCCATTAAATTTGCTCTTGAAATTGAAATTATAATGAGCCATTCATTCTGCTGGCAATGTAACCTAGTTAGCCCTATTGCGAATATCTGCAGTTGGCTTCGCATAGAGAGAGAAAGTTGTGCCAAGCGTCAGTTCCAAAAGGTAAATCTTTATTTATGAATGAATATGCTCTGATTAGGCCATTCTCTCCTTGATCCAGCCATCGAACATGGACACTCTGGTGTAGACATCGGGACTGTTGGAGGCACAGAAGGCCGTGCCGTAGGAAACGACGCCCACCTGCCGCAAGCTCTCACCGCTCTTCATCACCAGAGGGCCGCCAGAGTCGCCCTTAAAATAGAGAAAATTTTACTTGGGATATTATTAGTTTATAGAGACCTTAAACTCACATTGCAAGCCCCCTTGCCGAACTTCTCCAGAGCACAAATCTCCGTGTCCGTCAGCTGGGTCATAGTCTGCTTGCACCTGGCATTGCTTAGGGTCTTGTAGTTGAGTTTCTGCAGCACTGTCGGGTATTTGGCGAAGGGTCCTGTGCCAAAGTGGAACACCGATCCCCAGCCGGTGAGCAGAACCTCCTGATCGGCGCCAACCACGTCCGAACCGCTGACATCTATGGTGGAGACGCGCTTCTCGTCCAACTCAAAGGGAGGGTCAATCTTAAGGATGGCTATATCGCTGGTCACCAGCTCCTGGTAGTTCTCGTTCATCTCATATGACAGCACCTGTGATCGGTAGCCGGATGAGTCGTTAAGATCCCGGATGCCGGCCACCACACTGATCCGACTGGCATTCTGGCCATTGACGCAGTGGGCGGCTGTAAGGACGCGATTCGGAGCCACCAGGGAACCACCGCAGAAGTGACGCTTCTGGCCGTTGCGAGTGAGGAACTGCATCGATACCTGGTAGGGAACATACTCGTCCTCTGGAACATCGTAGCCGCCCACCACTCGCTCCTGGGAATTGGTGTCCGCCTCCTCAAAGAACTTGTCCACTAATTGAGCTCGGATATTAGATGAATACTCCCGAAGTAAGGCTTGAGTTAAACTTACAGTCTATGACGTTGCCCATGGGCTTACTGTGAGCCATCTCGAAGGCTAAAATAGCTGCCACGAGCAGCACAAGAGAAGTTACTCCGTTCATAATGGGACTGAGCTTAGAACTAGCAGTGCATCCGGGGTTTATATACTAGGTTTGAGGCCCAATTAATTGGGGTTTTTCGTTCTGTGCGATTCATTTGAATTTTATCGAGTGCAGCTGTGGGCGGTCGTCTCACCTCGTGTAATGGGTTACAAGGTCGCTGGGCGGCGATAGCACTGCGCCAAGCGATTGGAACTGGCAGTTGGTTAGCTAAGCCTGGCTTGGCTAGACAGGTAAGAACGTTGCGCTTGGGGATCTCGGGATGAATGGTGGCCACTAAGTAAGACATATAAATATGCAGCAGAGAAACCACAAAATCCCAACTCGATCATTTCCATTTGTGCACAAGATTCACAGCTCCTGAAGTCGCATCAACTGGCGCGGTGTAGACTGAGTCTGCTTCCGCGATTCCAGTGAATCCTACTCCTACGTAAAGGCGGCCAAAAGGATCGGAATCAGAGCAAAGCAGAAGCCAGACAGAACCCGCTTCGTTCGGACCGATCTGTCTCGGGGTTTTAATCAGCGAATAATTTAAATATTCAGATTAAACAAGCAGCGCCTGCGACGACAGCGGACATTTCTTTTAATTCATTGTGCCCAGGCAGTGATCGGGAAGAAGGAGGCCGAGACCTGCCGCTGGCAATCAACACCTCGGACACCTCGGAGGCAGTCCAGCGGCAGCTCCAGGCAATCTCACGTGTTCGATGCAAATCAGCCTCCGTTTCGCAGCCTCAATTCCATCCTTACTTTGGGCGGGCTCAGCTATCGAAGTCGGAGTCGCGGCCAGAGACAGTCGGAGGTGCATGTGTCAGTTCCGGGGCTGATTGCATCCAGCTAATGAATCATTTTGGGTGTAGCTGGATCTGGACTGAGTCCTCCTCCTCCTCGGGACTTTGTGTGTGGCGCACTGGCGCAAATTAATTATGCACACCTCTCGGTTTCGTGGCGATTCCATTCGCGTTCTGCCCGCTGTTGAGGTCTTGATCTTTGGACTGGTGTGTTAATTGTCCTGGGCCGCAATGCAGTGGCTTTCCGCTGCGCGCCAGCGAACCGATTTGAACCCGAAATGGCTTTATTATAATCGGACCGCACCTTGGTCCACAGGATGTGTCTGTGGACCTTGCTCCAACCCAGACTCTGGCGCCTGTCGTGTCGTCGCCTCATGCCTCCCTTGTTAATTGGACCACCCTGTCAAGGCATGACTTATCTGTGGATTTTTATGCTTAATTCCTGAAGCTCATTTGCATGTGAGCCTCGGATCGCCTTCAGGTTGCTCCAGGTTGACGGGTTAATCCCTGTGTAAACTCATTAGGCTTTGTTCTACCTTGGGATGGGTAATCAAGGAGAGTAACATAGATATGTGGATAGATTTCCGTTTTCTCTTTAATTTATTTAAAATTAAAGAACTTTGTGAACGATTTCGCCCTGCTGCGTATACCAAGAAACTTATTTTAAGAAAAACCCAACTTCAACTGCAAGAAACTGAAGAAGCCTGCCTTGTTTTGCCAACTTCAGAACTCTTGCAAAATTCTCACTAATAAAGTGCACTTTAATCATTCCATCAGTCATGTTCCAGACCACATCCTCCTCGACCATTCTCCAGGGGTCTACGGATCGGATCGGATCGGTGTTGACAAGATAAGCATCCTGCCCAGGTCCATGTCCGTCTGCTGTGCCGGGACGCCATCATTATTATGACATTTTGTTTGATTGCCTGCCAGTCTCCAAGCTGGGCCTCGTTCATGGCCATGTTCGCCGGCCAACTTCGGTGGAATTGTGCGTGTGGCCCAGAACCGAAGTGAGCCCTCATGCTCGGTGCAATTTTTATGGGCTTTTGTTTTCGGGACTTGTTTTCTCGTTTTTCCGTCTTTGCCGTGATTTATGGACTGACTTCATAAGGCAGAGCCGCTGGTTTTATGATCTTTCAGGAGAGTGGGAGAGCTAGCGTTTTATAGACCTCCCATAAAATTCAGTAGCCAGTGGTGAGAGGAAATTGTACCTCGATAACAGGGTCAATTGGAGGAGATTGAGGAAAAGTTCCGCAGTTCGACCTGTATGCTAATGATTGTGACTGCAGCCAAGAAACATATACAAACGGGATCAGCTTGGCTCGCGGAATGAGTTTTTCGCGCTCGCAGGCAATTAATTTTCCGCCTGGAAACGAGTGCGAAAATTAATTGCGTGTTTTGCATAATCAGTAAATTGGTCGTTTATTCCAGTACTTAATTTGCCCAGCATTGCGCCAGCAGTTCGGTTCCCGATTGCATACAACTGGTCTTATAAATTATGACTCTCGCCTCCAACACATGCCGCGATCTGGCCCGGAGAGCATTGGGCAAAATTAAACAGATTTTATTTGCGACTCAGATAAGAGATCATGCCACGGAGCAGCGGCCAGAGACAGATACCCTGCCGCAGATACAGATGCAGATGCAGATACAGATGCAGATACGGAGGCCGAGGCTAGAGCTTGCTTAATATTTATCGGTCGCGTGAGCTTGTTACCTAATTGATGACAACAGGTAGGCGCTTCTGTCATCCCAGCCATATGTGATGGCATCTAGCGATCCCGGCCAGCTTATGGTAACCAGGCACGCAAGAGGGATACCTGATCAGCACGGAACCGACCAGCAGGAGATCCCATTCAACTACTGTTTCAAAATAAGTTATAAGTCCACATTCGCAGCGTAAAGTGGCTGGCATTTAGGGAAAGTAATGGGTTAATCAAGTCATAACCTAAGGGTATTAAAACTCAAATAAAATATCAATTGTTTCATAATTTATTTTAAGCAGTTCTGTAGATGCTACCAAACAATTGATTATAGATTCAACTTTATATATTATTATAAATTATTACATATAATTAATGGCTTTCTTAATTAAAGATAAAGATTTTTGGAAAATGTAACCAAGTGAACATACAAAACTTAAAAAAAGTTTCACGTAGAGGTTCTCCAAACACAACCCACATTACTCTTGTTTTCAAGATCACTGGCATTTACATATTTGCACCAACAAATAAATGATAAGACTGCATTCAAAAAGTATAAAAACCACTGTCTGCTGTTGCAAACCATTCATTCACATCCGAGCAAAAATCAAAAGTGAAACCGTATCATTATGAAACTCCTGAAACTTTTCTTTTTCTTTTTGATCCTCCGACAATCCCTGGCTGATGTGGTGTCCCCAACCCTGGACAGCACTGCCCCACCGCCACGGATCAATGGTGGACAGTTGGTGAACGAGACGGTGCCCTTTCAGGTCTCCCTCCAGCTGCACCGGCGAGGACGCTGGCAGCACTTCTGCGGCGGCTCCATCGTTAGTGCCCAGCACGTCCTGACGGCGGCCCATTGCATGGAGAAGATGAAGGTGGAGGACGTCAGTGTGGTGATTGGAACGCTCAATTGGAAGTCTGGTGGGCTGCGCCACCGTGTCCTGACCAAGCACGTGCATCCGCAGTACTCGATGAGTCCAAGGATAATCAACGACATTGCTCTGGTCAGGGTAACACCGCCATTCCGGCTAGAGAGATCCAACATAGCCACAATTCACCTTGGTGGCTCTGATCGCATTGGCGAAAAGGTACCTGTCCGCCTCACTGGTTGGGGCTCCACCACGTCGTCCACTTCCTCGGACACTCTGCCGGACCAGCTGCAGGCCCTTAACTATCGCACCATATCCAACGAGGAGTGCAACCAGAAGGGATTTCGCGTGACTCGCAACGAGATCTGCGCCCTGGCTGTCCACGGTCAAGGAGCATGTGTGGTAAGGCGTCATGAGTTCCGAAAGAAACGGCTCTTCAAGAGATTTGTAGCCTAAATGTATTATTATTTATAAATCTGATAACTACAGGGCGACTCCGGTGGACCTCTGATCAAGGCCGGTCCTCATCCGCAACTGGTGGGCATTGTTTCATACGGCTCCTCCACCTGTGCCCAGGGCAGGCCGGACGTGTATACAAGGGTCTCCAGTTTTCTGGCCTACATAGGCCAGGTGATCAACCAGGACCTGGCCCAATAAATACATAAATACAGCGCATAAATAAAGCAAACCGAACTTGACTAAATTCCTTGCAGTCTGCTTGGTTCTTGGCTTCCTCCTGGTCCCCGCATCCTTTTGGCGACTAATTAAAAATCTTGTTCAATATTCGCCACAGCCGAAGGGGTGGCAGTCCGCGAGGAATAGCCTGGGCAGACTAGACCTGGCTCGGTTCCAGCGGATCCCCGGCTGCCGCATGGCGTCTGCCTTCTGCATAGGCACCATGATAAATGCAAAAAGCAATTTATCGCGCATTTAACTCAATTCAGTTTCTTTATGGTCGCAGGAGGTGGAGCTGGCGGGGAGGAGTCTGCCACAAAGTCTCCATAGGAGTCACGCAGGCCGCGCTCCTCTTGCGAACTCCTCTCTCCGGAGCGACGGAACGACTGAGCGACTAGAGACCGGGCCTGTAATTCGATATTAGATTTTATGCGCGACAAATACGAAGTGCAAACATTTTTATGTTCCCGCCGTTTCTATGCTGCGTTTTGGTATGTGTGGTGGAAACGATTTAACGGGGCGCCGACTTTGACTCCGTCTTTGACTCTGACTCCATCTCCAGGCTCAGCTTCGGTCTCGCCTCGAACGCGGCTGTGTAATTAAGTTCAAATAATGTGGGGCTCACGCTAGCTTAGGGACTCTGGAGGATCCTCTGGCCGGCGCACACCTATGTAGCTATGCCCCCGCGCAGCTCGTTTCACGCTCTCAATTTACTGGATCAAAGCTCGCCACGCTCGGCGGGCATAACATGGAAAATCTGGCCCCGACTGAACCCCCAGAGGGACAGCTAAGAGCGGGTCAAATGCGCCAAAGACTAAGACTCCGCTGGCCCAGCATCCCATCCGAGACTACGCATCTCGGCCAGCAGCTCACCCTATAAATTCATTTAGATCAATCAATTCAATTTGTTTGTCAATAAGACCCAAATGAGTATTTCATTTAAACAAATTAAAACTCGACCCGTTCGGAATGCCAGAGGCTGCGCGGACTCATCCCGCAGCAATTAAAATTGACGCGACACACTCGATTCCCTGATTTCTTAAACGAGCGCAATGGAAACACATATAAATACGGCTGGACTTTGGCTCAGACCCAGACCCAGTCCGGACCCTGGGACCCAGAGCGACCAGGCGATGGCCAGTCGCCCATTGCTGTTGACTCTTCATTGTCAATTAAAATCAAATAAATTTATTTGCTGCTTGACATTCGCCTTGGGCTACCACTGCCACTTTCTCGCTCTCTCTCGATCCGCCGTTTTTGTTTGGCATACAAGTGCATTGAGCTTGATTGGAGTGACCTCCGCGGGCGGGGAAATATCGCCAGGTCTACTTGACCTTGCCCTGGTTGGCCACCGACTCCACGGCCTTCTTGACCATCTCGTGGTCCCCGAGGAACTTGAGGGTGTCCAACGGTTTGAGGTTCTCGTCCAGCTCGTAAACGAAAGGTATTCCCGTGGGCAAATTGAGGCCCATGATGTCCTCGTCGGAGATACACTCCAGGTGCTTGACCACTCCCCGTAGGCTGTTGCCGTGTGCGGAGACCAGGATGCGCTGGCCCTCCTTGATCTGCGGCACAATCACCTCGTTCCAGTATGGCAGGGTGCGGTCGATGGTGAGCTTGAGCGACTCCGTTTTGGGGAACTCTGCCGGCTCCAGGTGGCCCTCGTAGCGCGGATCCTCGATGATGCAGGCATAGTACTCGTGGCCCTCTTCCATGGGTGGCGGCGGGGTGTCGAAGCTGCGACGCCAGATCTGAACCTTCTCCTCTCCGTACTTCTTGGCGGTCTCGGCCTTGTTCAGGCCAGTCAGCCCGCCGTAGTGACGCTCGTTGAGGCGCCAGGTACGGCATATTGGGATCTGACGATGCCCGGCGACCCTGAGGGCCGCCAAAAGTGTGTGCTGGGCTCTGGACAGCAGCGAGGTGTGGGCCACATCAAACTCCAGCTTGGCCTCCTTGAGCGCGGCGCCTGCTGCACAGGCCTCCATCTGGCCCTTCTCGCTCAGCTTGGCGTCGAACCAGCCGCAGAATAGGTTCTTTTGGTTCCACTCTGACTCCCCATGCCGCACCATTACGATCTTGTACTTGCCCTGACTCGCCGCCCTCTTGGACTGCTTAGAGCAGGGGCACCTGCCCTCCATGGTAGTCAGGCGGGTCATCAGTTGGCCACCCCAAGCCTTCCTGACCAGAGCCAACATTGTGGTACACATAGAATTTAGAAAAACAGCCCAGATCTAGATGGTGTTCATTTCAGATGGATCTGACTGAAACGCCAAGGAGGCAGCAGTGGAAACCGGTCCGGCTAGGCCTGCTTTGTTTTCGGTAATATAATAGAGTACATCAAATAGTTAAGGATACAATTATAACTATAATTGTATGGAATAGTTTTTGGCAGGGCTGGTTCCAAAACTTTTTGCCTTTTTAACAAATGGAGAGTGTCGAAGTGTAAGAAACCATCCTATTTTATTTTAAGTATGCCATTACCTTAATTACAAAACTTTTCCTTAATTAGTAAATCAACCCTGAATAAATATTTAAGAGATTTGTCGCAAGGACTCTAGTTCCGGCGTTGGAATTCCAAAAGAGGTTGCTTAGCCAACTTTATAGATATATTATCAACGAAAACTAGATCCTCATAGCGGAAGCTTGTGCTCAGCTTGTAATTTCTAAGAATCCTGGCTACAGCGATTTGTGTAGATGTTAATCCTTGTTTCCAGCCTGCAAATAAATCAACATATTATAAGCAATACCTACAGCTGGAATATCTTTTGAGTATTTTAAATGGCTCATACCTAGGCACGTTCTTCTGCCCTTTAAAAAAGGCAGGTATGCAAATGGATGTCTGTCTTGGATGTTAGCCGGCAGGAAGTTGTCGGGATTGAACTTGGAGGCTTCTGGGCCCCAAAAATCTGTATTGCGATGGGTGTGGAATAAATCGATGCCTATGGTTAGGCCCTTGGGAATAGTAACTCCGTTTGACAGGGTTAGGGGCTGGGTCGTTTTCCTCGGATCAATGGGGACGGTTGGTATTAGCCGTAAAGTCTCGTTTACTACACGCTCCAAATAAACTAATTTCTTCAGATGTTTCTCGTTCAACTCACAGTCTTCTGCCGTTGGAAATACCTCCTTTAACTCATTAAAGACTCTCTCCTGGTACTCGGGGTGCATGGCCAGTAGGATAAGAGTGTTGGCTACGGTGAGGGCTGTCGTGTCGAAGGACACCACAATCAAGCTACTGCACTCGTCCCTCACCTCGTCATAAGTCAGGTCCCCGCTTTGATAGAGTTCGATCACTCGGTTGATCACAGAGTTGACTTTGTCCTCCGGCTTTAACTTGATTTTTTCCTCGATTACCTAAATGAGTAAAATTGTATTATATATTTTCTTTTTTATATGGTAAAGTGTACCTTATCAATCGTTGAATTTATCACACGACGTCCTTCTTTTCTCTTTCGTTTAAAGCCGATGAGCTGATCAATGACTTTATTTCGGGTCAACGGCACTAAGGCGTTTAGAGTCGACATGCTGAGCAATCTTTAATTATTTAGAATATTACTCAAAGGGTTCCTTCTTGGCGGTAAAAATCTCTTACGATTTATAGATATGTATGAGCGGAAGATCCTTGAAGCGTTCATCTTCTAGCAAATCGGATCCAATTATAGTTTCTGGAGGCATAGAGTGTTAGGAGCAACCATTGATAAATGTCAGGAAAGCAGTTTAAAGTTAGGTTAAACCGAAACCGTTAAAGTACATACGAGTTGCTATTCCGAACGACCATCTGTACAAATATGGCAGCACATCCTTTTCACCTTGACCGACAAGAGCATCCAGTAGCGTGACCAAGGTGTTTGTCTTGGCATTGATGATGGGAAGATTGTCGAGCAGGACACTGTGCCTGAATGTGGGACTAAGCTGCTTGCGACGTAGACTCCACTGAGATCCTGCCAGATGTATAATTCTAAGGACAAATAAATAATTCATGATGCTAATAATTACAGTCACAGACCCTGCAATGTCATCAGTCCCAAGCCGAAATAATTAGTCGCAGACACCGCTATTTTATGGTTTATGTAGATGTTCTCTGGAGATGTTAGGTAATCCTGTATAATGTCTGGGTCCCGTGTAATCAACACCGGCTTAGAGCCCAGCCACAAAAATATTGTTGATCCATACTTGTCCAAATATTTTGTTCTCCACTTTATTTTTCCTGGAGTGTATTTTATTGTAAAATTATTAACTAAATAATGAGTATGTACTTACGTTTTTCCAAAATGGTCTCGACAGCAACGCCGAGAAGAGGAAGTCCCATTGGTCCGGGTACCGTCAGCCTAAGCATATAGAACTGGCGTCGCCTCCATAAAAATCGGATCAAAAAAAGTATCCCCGCGAGTAACAACAATTGAAACGCTAGCATTTAATACGATTTTTATTGCCAAAAACCTTAAGACTGTAATTTTGTGAGTTTTGGTTGAGCTTTATATAGAACACGGCTATAATTAACCGGCTAACCCCAGCATCCATTAATTGCTTTAAATCGTGCAATTACAGATTACTGTCGAATATAATTTTCAAATTTTTAAGTATCTAGAAAACAATCCAGCCCTAAAGGCTAATCCCGACCAAATATAAAGACTTTAATTTATATATTTAGACTAGCCGTGCCAGAAATTTTATAAAAACACGCACATGTCAACAAAAATGAACAGCAGTGAGTTTATTGTTTTATTTACCACAGATAACCAAAAACAATAGGGAATAACAGGCTAAGTACGTCGCTCAAAGGCCAGCCGTGGTGTCTCGGTCAGCTTCATTCCTATATTTTCAACGAATTGAAGATCCTCATAGGAAAAAGTTGTGCTCACCTTGAAGTTCCTGAGGATCTTGGCCAAGGCAAGCTTGGAAGACATAAGCCCATATCTCCAGCCTGCGAATTATGTAAATATATAGTAATCCAAAAGCAATATCTCTTAATGAAAGAACATAGCCCACCTATGCAATTTCTCTTGCCCTTCGAGAAGGGAATGAAGGCGTATGGATGCCTCGCGCTCACGTTATCTGGCAAAAAGTTATCCGGATTGAATTTTGTGGCATCTGGACCCCAGACCTCTGGGTTTCGGTGAGTATTGAACACGTCGACGACCGCCATGACTCCCTTGGGTATGATAGCTCCAGACGAAAGCCTGAAATCCTTTGAGATCTCCCTCGGATCTAGCGGAATCGCAGGTATCAAGCGCAATGTTTCTTTTACTACACGTTCCAAGTAAACTAATTTCTGCAGATCCTCGTAAGCCACTTCAAAGTCGCCGGGCGTCGGAAAGACCTCATTGAGTTCCTCGTGTACAGTGTCCTGGAACTCTGGGTGCATGGCAAGCAGCACTAGAGCGTGATATACGGTGAGCCCTGTTGTCTCAAAGGCACCTATCACCATAATAGAAATCTCGCCTTGCATATCCTCCCAGGACATTTTCCCCGTTCTATAGGAGTCGATGACTTGGTCGATCACCAAGTTCAGCTCCGTCTCGGAATTACTTTCCTTCTTGGAGCTAAGTTTTATCCGTATGATCTGAATAGGGGTGACTTAAGTTGATGATTTTTTTCAGCTCAAGATAATGACTCACCGAATCTAGCATCGAATGCATGGTAGAAATGTTTTTTTCAATGCCGCACAACTTCGCTATTACTCCGATTTGGGTAAAGGGAACAACGACATTTAATGTGATCAGTTTTAGGCTCCTAAGGAAATTTAATCACTGATGATGATGGTGGAAAAAGGAGGTGAAGTTTTGCTTACGTCTGAAAGCATTCCAGGAGGAGGTCGCTGTTGAAGCTTTCTTCTTGCTGGATATCTGCGCCCACAGTGGTCTCTGCATATAGGGAATGTATATAGATTTCTGTGTGTAATGGGTTAAATTTCCGACTACTAACGAAAGGATATCCTGAATGACCACTTCAGAACGTCTGAGAGGAGCTCCTTTTCGCCCTCACCGACATAAGAGTCCAGCAAGGTCAGCAGCACATTGGTCTCAGCGTTAAAAATGGGAAAGAAGCTGAGCAGAACATTTTGCTTGAAACAGGGATTCAACAGCTTGCGACGCTCGCTCCACTTGGGTTCTAGAAGTAATAAGTACTCAGTAATTGGTCACTGTAGAAGGTTGATGCATACATCCCATACCTGGCAAAGTCAACACTCCCTGTCCACAGTTAGCCACTATAGCATCCGCTGCGTGTTTACTTCGGTTAATGCATACGGGGGATGTCAGGATGTCCTCGACTATTTTCGGGTCTCTGGTAGCTAAGACTGGTAAGGGGCCAATCCAGGTGAATACGGTGGATCCGTATATGTTGAACATCATCGTGATTGCACTCAACCTTACTGAAAACGCAACAGTTTCAATTTATTCCAGACCTATTTATCACCTCACGTTTATAGAAAAATAAGTGCAAGGCAACTCCAAGTAGGGGAAACCCAATGGGTCCGGGCAACTTCAGCATCACCAGATAATATCTGCGGCGACTCCATAAGAAATATATCCAGCCAAATACTGCGGCGGTCAGTAGCAAGTCTATTGTCAGCATCTCGATGCCCGAACTGGATATGATCTCGTTCTAGGGCTTATGTTGGGCTTTAAATAGTTTTGGAAGCCACCACTTAGTGTGTGTCGGTTCCATTAAATGTATATTAAGTTGTAATTACTTTGACTTTGCCTTTTGAAGAGTGAAAAAATAGTCTCATTAATGTAGGCAGTTGGCGCTCGCCAACTTCCGGATTCAAAGGGTACTTACTTCCCTTCTGCCCTTTGGAGATTTAAGCTCCGAACTCCTCAATTGCTGGGCGATCCATCATCGACACTGGGTAAAAAAGCAATTAAGCCCGAATCGTGTCAGCCGCTTACCAGTCTAAGGTGACGCTTACCCGGCTAAGCCCAAAATTCATAGACAAGAAGCTGCCGGACCGCAACAGGTAACTGAGATCGGCTCTCCGTGCGCGGCAATTAAAGTCACAAAAAATGTCAGCGGCGATAAATTGTCTTTAAGTGCGTTCCCCGAAAAGTTGTCAAAAAGCGTTAGAAATTTTCACGGCAAGCAAGCCACACACAAATGCGAGAGTGTACCAAGAGCCACAAATCGATGCGTGGTGGTGTCCCAAGGTGTCCCGAGGTGTGGCAGGCTGCCCACGAACATGGTCGCGGCGCACGCAATCCCCAGAGATATGCACGAAGGAGGTGAGCTGCACATGGAGAATTATTGGGATGTAAAAAAGGATTAAATTTTCCTAATAATCCAAAAACGGAAAGCTATTAATTCTTAATGAAATAACCTCAAGCGCCACTGCAATGTCTGGAGTTTCTCTTAATAAAAATACCTTTAAGATTTTTTCTCAGTGTGGACCCCCGATGTCTGGGACTTGGGGACTACATTGCCGGCTGATAGCCGCGCGATAAGCAACATTACCGTACAATTTTCAATTAACACGCAGAGGAGGGCTCGGGAGGAGTGATAAATTCCACACAGCCTCGACCCTGGCGCTTGCAGGCACAAACTGTTCGCCACAGAGTCCCAACAAATTGTCTAATCTAATGCTCGGCCAGTCGCCGGAGAAGAACCGCCAGTCGCCGACAGTCGCCTCTAGAGGAGCTCTCGAGTCCTCGGCCAGGTCGGATCGGATCTATGGTAGCCGTTAGTGTCGTCGGCAGTGAAAAGTTGTCGACCTGCACCGGCCAGGGTATGGCGAACGCAAAAAGAGGCAAATCCGGGGAAATAATCGACAAACGTCCAACAAGCCAAGTGGCCGCGGTGGACAATTTATCATCTCGACTTGGTCTTCGGTTTCGCCTCCAGCCCGGTGGCCGTAAAAGCCTCTTTATGGCCGCTTCTGTGCTCTGTACTCGGGCCCCTGGTCACCGGTCACCGGTCCTCACCACCGTCAGTCATACAGGGGAAAGTATTCTTTTTGAGACACAAATCTTAAATTTTATGTTTTAGACCCATTTTGCATTTTTACAATGACATGTTTTCATTTGCGTTTTACGCTGCCGTTTTATGGTTCTTCAAATGATTTACATGCATGAGTACCATGGCCAAGACTGTGGCAAATACGAGGGAAAACCAGAATGAAAATATGCATATTTATCTACTTTATTTTATCACATATTAAGTCCACAACCTTTAAAGGTAAGTAAACAAATAAAGAATAAAAAACTGCAACAACGTGTAGATTTCTGACCCCTTAATAGAAAAATAAGTATATTATTTTTCGAAATATTTCCAACAGGTCATAATTTACGTTCAACTGATATTTTCTTAATTTTAAACTCACTTTCCAATTGTACGCTCGAGCGCAATCAACTTTTCAATTTTCCCAAAGCAAACAAATGTAAAAAATACAAGGAAAAAAGTGTCTTACCATTTTTCCCATTAGATGCGGCGCTTTCATCATTTTCAGGAGGCGCGTGAGGAGTTCAAAGGTGGCCCAAATGACATCCGCACATCTCCAGGGGCTGGCCAAAATACAGCCCCAGCTCCGGTAGCCACGGATGCCCAGGTGCAGCTGAAACGGCAACTGCAATCGAGATGAGATGAAGATGCGTCCGGTGGGCACACACGTTCGCTGGCCGTGAACTCTGCTCGCCTAACCCCTTCCTACATCGGATGGAACTCTCGGATATCTCGTACCTGCGCAATTTGAGCACCTGGCCGGGCCTCATGTGCTGCTCATGTGAGTGCCGCGAATCGGGGTCCATTTGCGTGAATTGAAAATGAAGCGGAAAAGGATCCAAACACCTGCAGGAATTGTAACAGACATAATCAGGCTGCCCGAATAATTGCAGCGAATGTGAATCATTCCAAATTGAAATCAGATGTGGGCCAAGCAGGAGACCCCATGGATCGGATCCCATGGATGCTACTCAGGTGGTGGGTGTGGAATAGACCCTCCGGGATGCGTGCGGGTTCAAGCCTGGATATCCGAGGCTCAGAGACGTGGACATGCATGCGATTCCATTTTGATAATAATGCCAAAGTCAAATAATTATAATGATCGTGATCACAATCGCCGCCTGCGATCGCAGATGGGAGCTGGCCAGTGACTAAGCAATTTACCGTTCCTCCGCCAGCCATGGGCCTCCGAGGCCCGTCCACTCCCCGGGCACATCTTCAGTGGAGCTCCAGGTCAATTGTCTTGGCTGCGGTCTGGGACCCGAAACCTGGGACCCAGAACCGCAACCAGAACCAGACCTGCACCGCCACAGCCACAGCCAGTTCTTGCCCAGTTCAATTGCAATTTCTATTTTCGTATTTTCATAGTTTCCTATTTTCGTGCTGGCGAATTCACCATCGACATCGCCAGACATCGAAGGCCCCAATCCCAGACCAGACCCCTGCCCCATCTTCTCCCGCTCCTCCTCCTCCTCATCCTCCTCCTCCGTTGCGCCTTCTGCGTAGGCGCTTTCACAGATTAATTGAAGTCATAAGCAATTGTAAACTTATCGCTTTTCGGCCTGCCCGATCCATCCACATCCACCAACTGGATAATTCTGTAATGTCTTCTCTGTGGTTTCCTTGGTCGATTCTTGCCGCTGCCACCTCCCCGCCTGGCCTTTATCGATTCGCAGCGGGAAAACTTGGCTGGTGTTGGCGTTTGGCTAATTTGTTGCTATATTTGATTGTGGCACACTTTGCGCAATTATTTGATTGCGTTTCTATTAAGTCCCGATACAGTTCAAGAGTTCAACAATCAGTAGCTTCTCCACTTCGTTTTCTTCGCTGGCATTTGAGGTTAAGTTCTTTACTCTTAATGGATGTGGGTCAAGAAATAGTAATCTCTCTGATATTTAGTAATATAAAGAATTTATTTTAGCATTTTTGCAACGTTATTCCAGATCCAATACTGTGATTATGTCACTGAGAATGCCATTACCCATACGCCGCGTCGAACAAAGCCAGTAATAAAGTTTGGGGCGTCATCCGTGACAATGGAAGTAGCGCCAAAGGCGGCAATTATGCTGCGTGTTGGAACGCGGAGCAAAAGGAGCGAAAGGATAAAAGCCGGATGCTCGAATATGGGTAATAAATGCGGCAAGGCGAGATGATACACTTAGCAGCGCCCAAGCACACGAAGGATGAGTTAAATGGCAAATGCTAATGGAAATATGACAAGGAAGCGGCACTCCATCCATCCTCCAGGTTCCCCAGGCATACACACATATGCAAATAGGATGCTAAATGTATGGGCAGGATGTGCGCCATGTGAGTTTAGTGGTTGCGGAAGCTGTGCGGCAGTTAAACATGGCGTCTTGCGATTTTATTGCCGCCTCGAAAGTTTGCTTACGCTTTGTGGCATAAATGAGACCAGAGATATGTAAGTGTGTCTGAGCCCGGAGAGGGGTAGCGAATTGAAATTCATGGAGCAGGCCCCAATCTCGGCGCTTGAAGCGTGCCCGCGGCGTTAATCTGAATCGGAGTACATATGGTTATGTGGCCAAAAGGAGGCATCTCCAGCTCCATCTCCATCTCCATTTCCATCTCCATTCCGCCAACATATGTTTGCCTGTTCACTCGTGTTGTGCCAGCTAAATTGCAGACAAACAATTAAAATGTTTATGCGACTCAAATTGAAAATTAATTGCTGCTCTCGTCGCCGCTCTGCGGTTTTAATTAATTTTTTTGTTTGCCCAAATTACCCGCATATGTAAATTGCACAAAATCTTGCAAAATCTTCGAGTTTAGCTGGAGATTTCACTCTCTCTCTCTCCCGATTTCTCTTCAAGAAAATCATTAGGAGATTGACAAATGGATTTCGGCCACAAATTTGACAAATTTGCTAATCAAACAGAACGCTCCGGCTCGCAGGACATCATTCACTGGGCCTTTCCCCCGTTCGACAGTTGAAAGGTGTTTTTAATTACTCCGAGTAGTAGTTGACAAAAAGAAACAATTAAGGTTCAACTGGGACAGCTCAGGGAGCTCGGGACGGCGTTTAGCCAAATGGAAAAGTGCAAATATTGTCAGAATGGAGGGAAGGGTGAGTGCGAGCCAGCGAATGTAACCCACACAGGACCAGGACATCATTAGTGCCCCCTCACAAGGAAGGCAGGCAGGGATGCGCATTGCTGGCCGACTTTTCATTTTCATCCTTCAAAGACAAAGTCGCTGTGGAAGTCAAAGTTGGAGAGGGAGACGAAGACGGAGTTTAAGAAATTGACATTTCTGGCAAACGGCTGGCGCTGAGCAAACAGCCGTTCTGCTGGATTCTCTAAAACTAAAATAATTTGCTAATATTTGCACAGCGATGGCGCAAAGTTGAGACGCCGCGGCGCATCATTAATTATTTGAGGCACAGGCTGGCAGCCAGCTAGCTATCTGGGGACTGGATGAAGCTCGGCTTGAAAAGGTTGTTAATTAATAGACGTTTTCTCTGCGGAATTTCGCAATTTAACATTTTCCACTGCCCGCCGATTTCTATATTAGTGTAACGGGAATGCTCAGCGAGTGCCAGTTCCCATTGATTGATGGCCCAATATGGCCGAAGAAATTGGCCATTGAGTGAGAGAAATGCAATTGGTATGTTTGGTACTGAT